AACCTTCAGAGTGCTTTCCAAACTTTCCAATTACATCCATATCTTGATATATGTGCATAGCATGAACCAATTGTTCTATATCACAGATGAATCAGAGTGTGCATGAAAAAAGAGATTTATTACAATTGTGTTGGGTTTACTAGGGTGCATTGAAGTGGACCACTAAGTAACTGATGTTTGCACTTTTGTGAAAGAAAAAGAACATTTACTTTCAAAAGATTCTAATGAAAATCTCATTCAATGGATAGCAAAAAAACCTTCCAATTTATCTGAAATAAACTCAGACACATAAATTTTATGGTCTATTGCCATTGATGTCTGAGTAATTGTTGGCAAATTTAAACTGCTGTGGTGCTGCTTTAGTCTCCTCCACAGCCTAACCAAAGATATTTTGCCGTCTCCACTCTTTGAGTGGGTGAAAAGGTATTGAATGAAGAAAAAAATATATTTTGAAAGCTTTCATGCAGGCATACCAACAAGGGCTCCTTAATCAGTACTTTCAATGAGACCTGGCACCCGCTAGAGCTCCGGCGAATATTCTGGTGTTAATTACCAGGTATACTTTGGAAGCTTTCAAGCAAACTCACAAAGTGAGACCTAAAACACCTCCAGATCTTCATGAGTTCTTTCAGTTGACTTTTAACTTTATGAATGGGTTTTGATAAAAATATTGATATTGTTTTATCATATATTCTGGCATACATTTCATACATCTCTAGCCAAAAAAAGATTTTGAGTTTCCAAGAACATATTAACTCAAATTTTGCTAACCAATTACTACATGTCCTTTCAGAGGACTTTTTATGTGAAACTCAGGGAGCAAGCTTGTATGCCAGCAAATGGAAGATTTTGATCAGAATTAAAATGATCAGTTTAACAATTGTTACAAAGGAGATGAATATTTAATGATCATATATGGAAGTTTAACATTGAAAACTCTGTTTGAAGCCAGTTTTGTCTGAATGGAAGTAATGGGATTGCAAGAAGGAAATTGTTTTTATATTTCTCTCTGGTAGGTGCTTTACCAAGGTGGCCATCTTCTTCAAATCTTATTTAAAGCAATTCTTAATTGGTTGTTGCCTACCTTGTTTATAGGGAATTGACACATGAGGGGGTGAAGTCCTGGGTAGCTAAAAGTGAATTAAAATTGTGTTGGGTTTACCAGCTTATCGACTAACTTTCAGCTAAGTCAACTAACTTTGACTTCTTGACTGACTTATGAACTGACTACATGACTAACACCATATGACTGATTGCAAAATACAAAAGCTATCAACTTTGTTTGCCAACTGTTTCCCAGAAATGGAAAATTGTTATTGGATCGTTATCAAACTTTTTGTGTAAACTGATGTTGCAAGGAAAACATTAAAAATATGTTGTTTTTTTTTCAGGATGTATGCCAACCTTCAACCATGTTTATTGATGATTGCTTTACTGTGAATTCCAGTCATTGGCTGACGCAGGTAAACAAGATCCTGGTAAACAAAGTTTTGGTTTGTTTGTAGTTTACCTTAGATGTGAAGTGCATGAAAGATGGGAAATTTTTTTCTTATGCTTTTTCTTATTCCTAACTGCATAGAACATTTATTTAGAAACAGTCTTAACCAGCTCTCCCCTTCCCTGCTGAATAAAAAATTTCCAAATAAAGTATGCACATATTATAGTTGAACCCAAATCAATTTTTCACCTTTCAAATGGTTCAAAGGATCTCTAAAAGGTTGTTTAAATTAAACACAAACATACACACACTGTAACTGCATTTTAATACCCAGATTAGAGCAAAACACTTTTTAACTGTAGAACTCAATAATATCTTTTGTAACTGTCACTGATAATTTCTTTGTTTCCTACCTAAGATAGAGAGATACTCTTCCTGTTATCTCTTGGCGGTTGTGGTAGTGCAAGTAATTCATGAGATAAGTTAACTTATACAAAATAAAATACAGTGTTGTTAAGTCCAAGAAAAAGACTTAAAAAATATACAGGAATATCCAAACTGTTTTGGATACTGGACTGTCTTTAAGCGCTGATCAGGTGTTTGACTTTGTACAAGAGATGGGAGACATAAAGCTGGCCTCTCAGGAGGCTGGTGTCACCCAAAATATCTCTTCCTTAGTCTTGATCTTTGATGCAAAGACTTGGTCCTTAAAAAAGAGGATAAAACTGTTTTGGACAATGGACTGTCTTTATGTGCTGATCAGGTGTTTGACTTTGTACAAGAGATGGGAGGCATAAAGCTGACCCTTCAAGGGGTTGGTGTCACCCAAAAAAGTCTCTTCCTCAGTCTTGATCTGTGATGCAAAGACTAGGTCCCAAGAAAGAGGATGAAACTGTTTTGGACAATGGACTGTCTTCATGTGCTGATCGGGTGTTTGACTTTGTACAAGAGATGGGAGGCATAAAGCTGACCCTTTAAGGGGTTGGTGTCACCCAAAAAAATCTCTTCCTTAGTCTTGATCTGTGATGCAAAGACTTGGTCCCCCCCAAAAAAAAAACGGTTTTGGACAGTGGACTGTCTTCATGTGCTGATCGGGTGTTTGACTTTGTACAAGAGATGGGAGGCATAAAGCTGACCCTTTAAGGGGTTGGTGTCACCCAAAAAAATCTCTTCCTTAGTCTTGATCTGTGATGCAAAGACTTGGTTCCCCCCCAAAAAAAAACTGTTTTGGACAGTGGACTGTCTTTATGCACTGATTGGGTGTTTGACTTTGTACAAGAGATGGGAGACATAAAGCTGGCCCCTCAAGAGGCTGGTGTCACCCAAGAGATCTCTTCCCTAGTCTTGAACTGTAATGCAAAGACTAGGTTCCCCCAAAAAGAGGATAAAAATGTTTTGGAAAATGGACTTTCTTTATGCTTTATGATCGGGTGTTTGACTTTGTGCAAGTGATGGGAGAGATAAAGCTGACCCTTCAAGGTGTTGGTGTCACCCAAAAAAATCTCTTCCTTAGTCTTGATTTGTTATTCAAAGACTTGGTCCCCCCAAAAAGAGGGTAAAACTATTTCGAACAATGGACTGTCTTTATGCGCTGATTAGGTGTTTGACTTTGTGCAAGAGATGGGATGCATAAAGCTGCACCTTTAAGGGTTGGTGTCACCCAAAAAATCTCTTCCCCAGTCTTGATCTGCGATGCAAAGACTTGGGCTCCTTAAAAGGAGGATAAAACTATTTTGGACAATGGACTGTCTTAATGCGCAGATCGGGTGTTTGAATTTCTACAAAAGAAGGGTAATTAAGGGTTGACCCTTTAAGGAGTCGGTATCGCCTCAAAAAAATTCAGAAAAGGTAACTGATTTTAGATAATATTTCATACCCTTAAACTTGCAAGTAAACGGAAAGAAAAAATCTAGATTATTTTTTTTTATATCTGATTACAGGATTCAATTAAGAGTGGGATTATCATGGTATATAATCGTCTTGGATTTCAGTAGATTGTGATCAATTCTATGAGGTGTCTAAGGCAAGTGGTTTGTTATCATTAAGAAGCTACACGTAATCAATCGAGGCTGACGCACACAACATAGGAGCATCATTTTAGATATTTTTATGTCGTGGGCTTGGGCTTCTTACATCGCGGGTTCAGTCAATCAGAATTTACTTTGAAGGATGGAATATAAAGAATGTAAAGCGCTTTCCAAGCGTTGCGAGTACAGTTTACGGCTTATGCACAGTTCTTCAACAAAATCTCGCAATGGATACGTCAATCCGCAACTAGCATACAGCAAAGCAAAACAACCTACTTACGGCCAACTAATGAAATTCAACATTCAGCTTTTTCGGAGGAAGAAGGGCTCGAACAAATTATTTCGCCGTAATGGAATATAACTAAAGGTCACTTTTTCAGAAGAATGGAAGGATTTACTTACCTAACTTACAGAAAAGTTTAAGCTCAGGGAAAAGAAAAATTTATGTACCGACGCAAAATGATACAGCCTTAACCGATGAACATGATCACATTGTGGAAACTGTGATTTAAACACAAAATCGAATAAATACGAGGTGAAAAGACTTTTTCAGGTAAAGGAAATAGTTTTGGAAAAACAAACCGAAAACCAAAAATCCAAACCATAAATCCGAGCAGAGAAAACGAGGTTCCGTAACTTACAAACGTACCTTAAAAACGAAGTTAATGAAATATTTGTTATATCTCTTGATTCAATTAGAGGGGGAGGTTTTAATCCGAACAAACATTTTGATTTCGCGGGCCGAAAACTTTTTCAGAAGAATGGAAGGATTTACTTACCTAACTTACAGAAAAGTTTAAGCTTAGAGAAAAGAAAAATTTATGTACCGACGCAATGTACAGTGACCTACGGCCCACTTAAGTGACCAATCATAGCGCACGTGTGAACCGAGAGATATGATATGCTTATTTATTCGTCGACAGCATTTTACTCAGCTGTACGTCTTGTCTCTCGACGATTTCTTGATTCAGGCGCAATCCTCTCTCAAACAATTAGTTAGTTATAGAAGTATTCTTCGTTTCAAAAGCACCGTGTGAAGTGCACAAATAACAAGAGAAATCTTTGCGCTACTGAAAAGTAACGCGCCAAGTGCACAAACAACAAAGGTGTTTCTCGTTCTAAAAGCAACGCGTGAAGTACGACGAATTAATTGGCGAATTGGACAACCCTTACAGTCGGTGAGAGTTAGAAAAACCCATTTTTACATTAAGTTTTGTCGTCATTTTTATAGGAATGATGGACCATTTAATTCGTCGGACATAAAACTCGATTCCAATCCTCTAATAACTAACTACTAGGGACCTACCCTTGGGTTACTTTTTTTTTCCAACTAATTCCTTTTAGTGAATTGCATCTGTTAAAACTGATATAAGTCAAGGAGCATCGTCGTCATGTTTTGAATCGTGTTTTCGCGGCACAATATCGCATTTGATTTTAACGAAGCTGCAGAATTTAACTGGTAAAACTTAGATAGGTACCAAACATACCAATTTTGCGAGATAGCCACAAACTAATTAGGAACAACAATGGCCAAGGATAGTTTTATTTAGAATTGTTTTGCGAGTTATTTTCCTCTTTCAGGTACCGGGGAGGTAACAAGTTTAGAAAGAGTGCAGTGGGAGAGGAGTGGTAAGTGAAATTACAGTTCAACGAGAACTTGTTAAAAGACTCCTTCATGGGAACATTTTTCGAACTCTTTTGATTGATTCATTGTTTCGCCTCATTAATTTCTTCCTCTTGCACATGTGTCATTCTGTTATGACGGTCCATGAATTGTCTGTGAACAGTAAATTATTAGAACTGCCGACTAGTAAGTAAATAATAACCGCGTCCCTGTCCTCTTTCAGCCACCGTAGCGTACAAAAGAAAGTCAAGGGAGGCGAGAATACTTTTTTTCTGGTGAGTGTAACTACGTTGTACACTGAAGCGAAAACTTGTGAAATGGTCATGGACAAATATTAACTTTGGAAAGAAAACAAGACTATTGGTGGTTCTCCTGTCGTCGGCTATCCCTCTTCACACCCACTTTTAACCAGTTTTGTGAAGTCTTTATAAAAGTTTTCCATCTGTTAGTAACATTCATTTCAAACGGATAAGTTTTGTGTAACTAAACGTCTGTCTAAATACGTGCTTTTTCCAAGGTTGATATTTTTCTTTGATTGGAGGACTTGTCAGTAACTGTGGCTATGTGTTACATAATAAGTGCTGTATATGAATCCTCGTTCTTCATTTCTACACAAATTTCACGAAGATCAAGAAAGAGGTCAAGAAAGAGTGGGCATTAATTGGGGATCGCGAGTTAGACAGTTTTGTCAATTGTCAGAAAGAGTTGCCTGCCTTGTGATACCAATATCTTCTAACACGAATGTCTATCATGACAGACGTTTGGTGAGAACAGGTTCTCAATCCCGTTCAGAATTTCCAGCCTAATTTCAAGGAAATATGGGGGGAAAGAACGCATTGATTGTTTAGTTTCTTGGGTGTGAAAGCCATACCCATATTTTCTCAATTTGCGTCTTTTTGACTGCGAGGAAGTACAAATGATGTTTATTGATTTCTAGAGATTTACCAATGTACATCTTTTCTTCTTTCAGGTCAACCTAAGAAAGGAAGTAAAATTTGGGGTCCGATCCGCCACCGTCCCGTCTCATACTGTTTCTTAAGTATTTATTAAAGCTGGCTATCTTGCGCATGTGTATTAAGACAGATATTTGGTTCAGAAAAAACGCATGCGTTTGAAAATATACGTTACTCCCATAAGGTAGACAACTTTTACAAATACATCAGAAAACTGTTTGCGGGAGGTGGGTGCGGCGGGGGAGGTCGGATGGGTAAAAACAACTTTATTAAAACTATTGTAATATTAGTGTAGTATGAGAATGTGAGAAAAAGATTGTAATATATATTGAAAGATTGTACTGTAATGCTGTGCTGTTTGTATGATGTTTGTATCACAAGGTTGATGACTCTTACCAAGAGTCAAGGAAATTGTTTAAAAGTGGCGGGTGTGGTGTTAGATGGTGAACAGGGAATCGTTTTTTATTTCCTTCCAAGGCAGATAACTGTTCTAAACTGTCTAATAGAGACAGGTGTGGTGGGGGATCGTGGACGGATCGAACCCCAATGTTTCATTTTATTATCTGAATCGGGGGTCGATCCAATTTAGCTTTCTTTTCAAGATTGATATTTGTCTTTCCCATGCTCAAGATAATCGTGTTCCTTGGTATTCAGCTTTAGGAGGTCGAAGAAACCTGCAAAACAGGGAAATGAAATCATGACCAAGCATTTGAGCCATAAGAAGCATTGACAGTAATTATTGATGATACGACAAACAATAGCCTATAGGAAAGAGAAAGAGAAAGAAAAAACACCAAAAAATCACCGGCGATTTTATTTCGTTACATGACACAAGGCTAAAAAATAACTGACCTAACAGAACCATTTTGATCGCTGGAATAAGGCCCACTTGCAAATAAATTGTACTGCACGACAACGAAATTAAAGAAAAAAATTCCTTAAAAATTGGGTCTGACAGAACACTGAAGCGAAAAGCACTGAAGACAAAAAAAACCCTGTACTAAATTTGATGAAATTGTTGAAGTCCAACAGGTAAACCAAACCTAAGTCAAACCTAACGGTATTTTTGAACCTTTATGCAGAATCAACCTCGCAAGGTTTGAAGTTCTTCACTGATTTGATTTTCTGATTGTCGTGTTCTGACCTAAAGACTGCTGCTCCAAGAAATTTTGCGAGTGAAAGTGATAAACGATCAAAAGTAAGTTGACAGCGTCTCGTTGTCAAACTCAACATCTGAATTAAGAAGATTTGGTTTCTGTAAAATATGACTGTAGACTAAGTAAGATGGAGAGCTTTCTCACCTGTAATTTCAGCTTGAAACTCTAAATCACGATAGACATCATCTAGTGGGCAGAACAATAGCTCAGCAGGTGCGTCTTAAAACTTTGTACATTTCTAAGCCGTCCTCTGCAAGAGAAGAACGTGAAATCACCAAAATTTGCGTGGTCTGAGAACGGAAACCTTGCTTGCAAATTATTTAAGTTTCCACTTGGAACTTAACGCTGCTCACTTACATGTATGTCATGCTGAAGGTAAGGTTGGTGTGGCGCCGTAAGAGACGGTTAACACACCAACCAATCGCGAAAGAAAATAATTTTATAAACGTCTTCCTCGGCGTTGCCGTCCTGACTAATTTAGGTCTCTAATATCTTAAGGTTAACGGCGTCAATCCAAACATTTTACCGTCCCCCCCTCCCCCCAACAAAGTGGGTCGACCAATGAAAATTTTATGACCCGTAGTTTCTGTAATGGTCCTATAATGGTAGACAGTCGTCTAAGTAACAAAAACAGTCAGTAAACTTTGCATATTGTGTCCTGATTTATAGATGAATCGCTGTCCGCAGTGGCACAAGCAGTAACTACAATTTGTTTGTCAGTGTTCAAGAACTTCACTAGAGTCTTACAACTAGTAGCTTTATGGTAAAAGCGCACCAGCAAGTTGTTCAGTCTCTAAGTCACTCAGCCAGTCATTTGGTCTGTTAGCCATCCAACCAGTCAGTCAGTCAGCCAGTGTCAGGTCAGAAAGCCCCCCAGCCACACAGTTAGTCAATCAGTCTCTCAGTAGGCGGGTCAGTTGGGCTGTAAGTCAGACGGTAAGCCAGCCAACCAGTCAGCAGCGTTTGTACCCTTTTTCAGAAGCAAATTTCACGTACTTTTCCGACTGATTTTTCCAGGACTCCAAATTTCACCTCAAATTCTTTCATTCCCAAGATTTCAAAATCAATTCTCCAATTCTTTCTTGTAACGCACACTCTGAAAACTTTATTGCTTGAGTTCAGCAGATTTCCAGGCCTTTCCAGACCTATAGTCTTTTCCAGGACTTTCCAGTTCTGGAAAATGTTAAAACAAAATCCCAGGACTTTCCAGGTTCTCCAGGACCCACATGAACCCTAGTTAAGAAGTGAGTCAGTAGGGCAGCCTGCTAGCTAGCTAGTCGTCAGTCATTTAGGTGGTTAGCAAGTGAGTCAGTCATTCAGTCTCAGTCTCTCAAATGAAAATGCAATGACTCATTTTATTTGTAGTCTGTACTTGTTTAGAATATCTGAATTAATCCTTTCTTCAGCGGGACAGTTAACCAGTCAGTGTCTCAGTCAGTCAGTCGGCCAGCCAGCCAATTAGCCAATCTGTCAGTCTATCAATTAGTCTCTCAGCAAGCCAAAGAGTCAGACAACCATACAGCTAATTACTCAGTCAGCCATTAAGTCAGTCAGTCCATTTGCTCTGACAAAGGGTTACCACTGGAAACGTCAGCTTTGAAATTCTTTATGGTGGCAAATTTACATCATCAACTCAGTTTATAATACTAAATTACCCTGTTAGTCTGTCAGTCAACCAGAGAGATGGCAAGCCAGTCAACCAGTCAGTCAGTCAGTCAGTCAGTCTGTCACTCAGCTGGCCTGTTAGTTTCTCTGTTAGCCTGCCAGCCACCCAGGCAGTCAATAAGACAGTCAGCTAGCACAACAGTCAGTCAGGTAGTCAATAACCACATCATATTGTAATTAAGGAGATTGAAACTTGATTATTTACCAGTGCATGGCTTCAAATAAGACACAACTTCTGCGACCGCACAGCTTGACCAAGTTGATCCATGTACTGAGATTGTTTCACAACAAGAACCATTATTCAAGACTAATGAACATTCCACTTCAATTTATGCAGTTTTAAGCCATGCAGCAAAGGCTCTGAGCTCCAAGAGTGAAAATCCTGAAAGAAAAAAAATGAATATCTAACAAATATAGAATATTAACTACTACTAACTATTCACATTAAATATTGGATGATAGTTTGAAGAGAAAGTGGGGGGAAAAAATGTAATTCTGGTCATGATACTCTTTTTAATATGGTTGGTTCAAATAACTCAAGGTGGCAACAAGACCTTCAAACATGGTCACAGCAGTCATAGGTTTTTGAAATTCCTTGACAAATGTTAATTTCCCTGAACCAACTGAGTTAGCAATTTCCCAAAGAGTCCTTAGAATAGCCTCCAGCCTACTCTCTTAGCCATCCTGTACACCCATAAATTTATGGTTTCATCAAGTTACATACAGTGAACATGAATGGATAGTTGCTCATAGGTAACATGGAAAAAAGATTGACTTTCTAGAAAAACCCAACATCAAAAGTGTCACCACCTTACATCATAAAAGGGCCAAGACCGGATGGCTGACTGAATATTTCCTTGAGATTTCACTTTTCCCTGAATTCTTTCAAAAATGTAACTTCTGCCTGACACAAAGTGAAATTTGCTGACATTTCCCTGACCTTAAACAAATTTATTTTTCCCTGACTTTCTCTTGACCTGTGGCAACCATGTTTCAAAGTGTGAAAGACCCAAAATTGCCAGATACATCAATAATAATACTACAAGAACTTATATAGCACCATTTCCGTGAGCTCAATGGCGCTTTACAATAATTGCAATTCTAAAAAATAAAAAACATTTGAGTTAATAAAGAAAATACAACAGTTGTAAAAATTTATTTCTAAAAAATTAGATACAATCAACTTGCTAAAATTAACTTAGGAAAACATATACAATAAAAAGAAAAAAGAGTAGTCAACTAACTAATAAAAGCCTCTCTAAAAAGTACTGTTTTAATCATATTTTTAAAAACATCAAGGTTCTGGATTGATTTGATGTCATGAATTAGATCGGTTACATTAAATCTAGGACATGGAATTCCTAAGGCCCTGAAAAACTTAGGACATAAAAAACTGGAGGCCTACTACCCTTAGAGCAATTCAATGTGGCCAACACACTAAAATGTAATCACTTGAAATATGCGAAAGAAAGAAAACAAAATCAAAATCTATTGTAATTTGATTGATGGGGTTGTGGAACAATGACTGAGCGAAAAAGGGCCCTATATGGCCAATTCCACCTTGGAGGACAACCCCAGGCCAGCAATGCCCCAAATTCTGAGGGCTCTTAGATGGGGCCAAATAAACATATAAAATTTGACTTGGTACCAAGTATCCAGGTCTCAAAGCCTGACTTTTTAATGCAAAGTCCAGTCTCTCTATGGGTCAGCCAGGCAGCCAACCAGACAGCTAGTCAGTCATTTGGTTGGTCAGCTGGCCAATCTAGCTCTGAGTGAGTCAGTGAGTCAGTGAGTCAGTGAGTCAGTCAGTCAGCCAGTCAGTCAGTCAGTCAGTCAGTCAGTCAGTTGGGAAATCAGTATGAAAGTTAGTTTGTGAGTCAGCAAGTAGGCCAGCCAGTCAGTGCATCTCTCAGTCAGCCAGTTAACTAGTCAGTGCATCTTGCAGTCAGCCAGTAAGCTAGTCAATGCATCTCACAGTCAGCCAGTTAGCCAGTCAGTGCATCTCTCAGTCAGCCAGTCAGCCAGTAAGCCAGTCAGTCAGCCAATCAAATTAAAGAAAATTCTCAAATCATTGTGTATCACTGCCAAAATTTGCCAAAGTATTTACAAAAACATTTTAAGGTTACTTTCAGCAAGGTAGGGTGTCTTTTGGAAATATTGTGCCATGTGCACTACTTTTGAGGGAACAATGGAAAACTGTATGTCCCTGTAAAGCTTATAGGGTATCTATTATGAAAATAACAAAAGTTTTCACAGTTTTTGTTTAGGTAGGCATGTGCAAGCCTTTTAACACAAAATTAATGGTGTTTACTTTATTAAATTACCAGCCTCTGTGTTTCCACAGACCTTCAAACAAACTGGACAGTATCACTTGGCAGATTATAGGCTAACAAACTGTGTGAGACTTTGGAAAATGCTTTGGTTGTTGTTATGCTACGCGATATATCACAAAAGAAATATTTCACATTACATAAAAGCCTCTCAAAATTCGTAGTGTCAACATCTGATAAACATTCTGACCAATTATCAGGAAAATCCAACAAATCTAGATACCTTCTTAAGAAAAATTACAGTTCCATAAATTTGACTTAAAAAAATCAAAGATTTTCAACAGTAAGAGTCTAACCATTACAGTAGACCTTCAAGGGTTTCTTCCAGGAAGTAGCACCTACATGTATATGCATTGCTTGTGTAATAAAATCTTAGCAAAGTACTATAAAGCAAAAAAACTTTGACATAATGAAGAATCTGACATAATACTATTTTACTGATTTTGTCCAGTGGTAAGTGCACTCAAGCCCTTAAAAGCAAAATTAACAATGTTTGAAATTTGATTGCATTCATGGCAAAATTAATTGTGTCAATAAGCAGACTACAAATTGAGTGAGTTAAGGGCTTTTTCCACTGTTGGTTACCAAGATAACTATATTTGCTTATGTTCATCACATAAGAAGGCATAAAAGAAGAAGTATTTAGAATATCAAAAGAGTCACTCTCCCTTTGGCATGTCAACATCTAGGTAACATTTTGGCCAAATTTTATAGAAATCTGTTGAATAAACAACCCTATTAATTGGCTTGAAAGTAAGGGAACACCTTCAAAAATAAACCCTGAGTTTTCTGCTATTTATGTTTTACAAGCTTTAATCATACTTTGTCAAAGAGGTTTTCAACATAGCAATGCTGCTAACTAATAAAATGAGAGCTTTGGATGCCCAAGTGCTCCAAACAAAATAGCCTTTCGAAATTCTCTGGATATCTATTATAGCTGTCAAAGTCTGGATGCAAACACATTTATTTTTTTACCAAACTGTAGATATAAAAAAAATTATGTTTGCCCAGGTGAAAGAGCGAAAAAATTTTAAAAAGTTTGGCCTAAGTACAGGCCCTCTCTAAACAATGTGCCTGATCATACAGGACTTTAGAAAGAGTCCTAAGGCTGTAACCTTGAATAAAATTTATTGTAAATCAAACCGTTTGATTTCGTTTGATGAAAGCAAGGTATAAAACTCCAGTAAATCTCATATAAAAGTGATTAGAGTGGTGTTTAGCTCCAGACAGTGAATTTGGAAAGAAAGATTTCTTTTTTCAAATTGACAACAACAAAAAAATTATTTTTGATGAATTTTTGCTGAGATTTCATTATAAAAAAACTTTAAGTATCATTGTTAATTATTACTACCTCACCATCATAAAATCATCATAGATCATCATATATCATCATTATAAATCTTTAATTCGTGATGTAAGTATTAAACAACGCCAGAAACGTTTCCAAAGGGGATTCCATTCGACTCTTTTAAATCCATGATCAACACCACATAAAAATACCCTTCCATGTGCACTCATTTGTACGTTGTCCAATAATTAAACAAGTGAGACGCCAACAATTATAACATCGAGCGGCGATGAAGTGGCCGGGTACACTACAGGTACTATCACCAGTTACTCATACAGACTGAAAACCCTACAACTTAGAGAAAACAGTTAATCAATTGGACAAACCTACCTTATGTAGTTGTTGTTTGGCATTATTTGCATTCCGTTTCTTGTCCACATGTTCTTCTTTTGAACGTTTGGCAGCCACTTTATCCGGTGTTTTTTTCGCATTAAACGTGCCATAAGTAATATCAAAGATGATACACTCATACGCGTACTTAGCCCTAGCTTGAAGATAAAACCAATAGTCAAAGTTGAAATTTCAAGACTTCGACCGCCATGTTACATTTTCTTTCGTTACCAGTTCTTTCGCGTCTTTCAGATATGTTCTGTGGGACAGGGAAGGACTAGGTCCTACTGGAGCGTAAGCCCTCAGTATCAGGTCGTTTCGAACCAAAATGCGGTCGATTGCAACCAGGTTTGGATCGGTTCGTACCCAAGTTTGAGTCGGTTTGTACCCAAACCGCTAGTCAAATCATTCATTTATCCGAAATACCTCACGCACGAGCGCGTGAACAGATATCAATCGTTGCGAAGGACAAGTTGGTGAAGTCAACCGAGTAAGATAAAAACAAAGTTCTCCTGTCAGTATATTTGAGACCTTCTTAACAAAAACAATTTAAGTATTGCCCTGCGGAAGTGTAGCATTTTAAGGTTAGGGTTTGTCTATTATTTATACTACTGACTTTTTTGTTAGACAGCTCTTGTAGATGCGATGTCTTTTCTCCAATTGTTAACATGGAAAACTAAGTTTATTACTTTGGAAACGACCGAGCAGGGTACGCAACGACTCAACTGACTGGGTACGAAACGATCAGTGACCAAATAAGACAAAATAAAAAATCGAACACTAGTGTCCATAATCAAAAATCATACTCTAGAGTCCAAAATGATAAATTGGACACTAGTGTTGACAAACAAAATTTTGACACTATTGAGTGAAAAAAAATCTTCAAAATAAAAATATTCTGTCATTCTACCTTTCCAAAGATTTCACCGTTCCATCATTTTTCAAATAGGGTCAAACTAGGTATCGTACCTTGCACTTATTTAGCAGCTCTTTTGAGCATATGTCTCTAATGAAATGATAAAATGCTCTCTTCAAGGACAAAAATTTTCTGAAAGTTTCCATGATGTTCAGATCATACCTACTTACTGATTAATATTTGCAAAGCTGTGTCATTCCCTCCTGGCTGCTATCTATATTTGAGACTTTGGAAAATTTCTTTAATTAGCCTATGAGGATGTTTTCCCTTGAATAAGGTAAACATGAGCACTTGTTAGGGGGGGTTGGGGAGGTTCTTCTATAGACAAGCATTCCCTCCAGAGAGAGCAATAGTACCACTGGTTGATTCATGTCTCTGAATTTCACTGGAATAAGCTTTGGTAAATGGTTCAGTAAGCTCAAAAGAATTACAGTCAAATCCATGAATGGGCCCCAGTATGTAATAGCAGTATCGGAAAGTCTAGATTTTCACATGGATACTGTTTTTTGTTTCTGAACATGATGAGTTTATGAAATAATTAAGAGTATCCACTTTGCTGCTTTTAAACGTAAAGGATCACTATTGTTGTCATTTCAAGTAGGTGTTACATTGCAGGAAGAAGGAGATCAAATCCAGTCATATTTTGGGAAAATTTAAACCATAGTCTCTTTTCAATAAAATGCCAGAAACCCTCAGTAAATGAGAGCCTTAACCTAACTTTGAAATAAGTTTCCCACATCATACAAGTAATTCAAGGATCTATTTATCTCAGACTATCTGCTAACAATCTACATCTGTCTTCACCCTTCTTTAACTCAAACAAAACAAATGCAAGTCTGACACATTGTAAGAAACTTTATTACAATCAGAACTGGATCATTTGACCCTAGAAAAAATACAAAAGAAAAATGTTAGGAGATATACATGACACATCATTAATCATGGCCCTTTTTCTGCACTATCAATGTTTCAGAGGGGGGGGGGGGGAAAGAAAGGAGGAAAGAGAGGTGGTAAGAGGGGATTAGTCTTGGTCAGAATGGAATTTGTGTTTACTTCAGTCAACCAAGACTCTCAAAACCAACAGGCCACCAGTAAACAAGTTAAAATACAGTATGATGTCAAACAGGTATATAGCTAGATCCCAACAGCATGGAATTATCTTTCTGTTAACACTAATCTGCTGAAGAGAAATTTACAACTTAGATATAATTTTGATGACCACCAGGGAGAATGCTGCATACAACAAATTGCTCCAAAATAACCCACCAAGTGCAAAGTCACTTGAGTGATCATGGGCCTTTAACCCTTACAAATGAATACAGCCTGCTTTTACCTTTCTCTTCTTGTCTCCACCCAGCTCAAAGTGTTTGCATCTTTTCAGGGCAATTTGTTTCCTGTACTTGCAATCTGTGCACTCCATACGGAGAACAATTTTCTTTGTTGTTTTGGCCTTGAAAATTAGAGAAATAATTTAAAATTCTACCCTGTAATAATCTTATATGAAGTTGTGGTTATCCTGGGTTAAATTTGGTAGTAATCACAAAGGAGCATACAGTGGTGGGGGGTTTCCCTATTAAAAGATTGTCAATGTTCTATTGGAAGCCTAATCACCTTCAAATTTAAGTCAAAGGAAAGGTTAGAAAATGTACTACATCTAATCATAAATTAACTAAGACCTGACAAATGGGAATAGACAATGTTTCAATGAGCTTATTAATAAGGTAACAAATTCAATCATATGGAGTTAATCTTCAAAACTAAAAGACTTTTCTCCTTTTTATCTTTCCCCATTTACATTCTAGTTTTATATGCAGAGAATATAGCCAAGATTACTGAGTGTAACTGATATTTATGCCGCCAAAAATATATCAAGAGTCATTTATCTTGAAACATTAAAATTGGCTACTCACACATTTTGAAAATAACTACATGCTAAGATAGTTATATTTAGTTTAACTTGACTTGAGAAAAAAACATTTAAAACAAATTGGCCCTTGAAGGTCTACCATATCCTTAAATGTAGCTGTTACAGAAAAAATAATCACAACAAAGCATAATGCTTCAAGGGGTGATATGTAACCTGTCGTGGTCTCAGCCTAAAGGAGGCTTGCGATATGCAATCAAAACATTGCAGTCCGCACTTAAAGTGAACCATTGAGACAGAAACAAAAACGCCTAATGATAATGACACATAATTATATAAAATATTTATTTCACTGGTATACAGAGGTGCACAAAAATAACAATTTCCTTGAAATTAGGACAAAAATTTTCGTTCCATACATATTTCATATCAAAACAAAACTTCCATCGATAGAGACCGTAACATTCCACCAGAAATTGAGAGTATTTCAACTAAACAGTTTAAAACTATATCCATTCCATCTGAAAGATCTAATCAGAGTAAGAGTGCATAATGTACCATTGGATCGAAATTTCGACCTAAGGCACACAAGTAAAGCGGGCAGTGGGGTAATAATTGAACATATGATCGTACGGACATGAAATGTCTCTTTTTCTAACCTTTTTGTGGAAAATGGGTTTCGTTTGACCACCATAGCCTGACTGTTTACGATCGTAACGGCGTTTTCCTGAAAGAAACGGCAAAAATACTCAAGAACTGTTCGAACGTTCCCCAAAACTAAGATCGATCACTTTTAAAGACCTTTCGACAAAGCACGAAGAGCAATTCTTTATCAAGATATTTACAGAGACGATGCCACTATCAATAGTTAGTATCAGTTCATCCATAAGTCTTACCCTGAGCGTAAAGACTATCTTTTCCCTTTTTGTACTGGGTCACTTTGTGCAAAGTGTGTCTTCGACAGTTCTTGCCCTTGCAATAAGTGCGGCGCTGTTTTGGCACATTAACCTGAATGCAACGAGAAAATAATGACAGTTTTAATAAAAAAAATGGAATAAAGAATCCATCTACTCGTCTTAAAGTTTAAAAGACGAAAGATGGCAAGGGATTCAACAGGATTCAAGTACCAAAATATTTTTCCTACCATTTTGCTCGCACGATCGAAAGAGAGAGGAAATACTAGGGTCCAGTTCTCGACATTGCAACGACAGACGCAACATTCCAAAGCGAGGCTACAGAGCCCAGGTTCACTCACACTGCTGTGAAAGATGGAGTTAGGATCATGAGCAAATATAGATTAGGATATCAAAGACTGGTATGGTATGATAAAGAAAACAAAAATGTATTAGGCGAGGAATAAAAAATCGGACCAAGAAGAAACAATGGACCACGTTGCGACAATTCTCGTTTATGGAACTGGAGAATCAAACTTATGCTCATGAGAATCTTCGGAAATTGAAACACATGGGCCTAATGCTGATTGAAATTCGGAAATATATTAGTACCAAATGGACAACAAACAAGAGAGGAAAGTCGATATTTAGGGTATGGGGGGGGGGGGGGAAGAAATTTTTGATTCTGGTTCAAATCCTCGTGTTCTTCCCTTCTAAGTCTGTCTATGACTTGTCTGGAGGTGGAGACAGTCTCTCATTTATCCTTAAGGGGATTCGTCAGGAGCCCATTACTTGAGTAATGGGCTCCTTGATTCGTAAACAGGATATCCAATTCACTCTTCCGGCTTCTTGAAAAGGGTCTTCATCAGTATATTGGATGAACGCTTAAGATGCGCGGTCTGCACATCTAACGGAAAACATTCTATCTGAAAACACTACACGAAGCAGGATGTGATAGATGTATAACAATCGGTAAATTTTTTTTTCGTGAGCACGGTAACGGTATGACCGGATTTTGTCCTAAACAGGATCAGGGTGTGAAGCGTAGTGAAAATATCAGTACCCAAGAGATCCATTAGGATCACTGGCACTTTACGTGTACCTCCGCCAATGTCATCTACTGCATAACTTGCACTTATGGTAATGAGTTATACATTGGTGAAACAGGAAGACGACTTGGTAACCGATTTCGAGAACACCTTTGCGACGTAGAAATAAATGACAAGGACGCATCCAAACCAGTCGTTAGACACTTTCATCTCCCTAATCATTCTAAACAAGATATTGCAGTTTGCGGCCTTTCCTTACATCTAGGTAGTTCGGAAAGCCGCAAAACACAAGAACAAAAATTTATCTTCCAAATCGGTATTCTTAATTCCCACGGTATCAACGAGCGCTTTCATTCAACTAATTCTTCTTGTTTTCTCGTCACCATACTCCCCCAATAGCGTAGCTCCACCTTCTGCATATAAACCTACACACAACCCACAATTCCTCCAATCGCTCTGACGAAGGGCTAACGCTCGAAACGTTAGCTTTTTTACCCTTTACAGTGGCCAATTTACGTTTTCAACTCAGTTGTTAACACTAAATTATCAGGGTGTGAAGGCCTGGGTAGTAAACATCACCTGAGTCTGGGTTGCAAATGTCACGGGAGCTCCTGTGTATCCTCCTTTGCCCCCCCTCCCACCCGTCACCCTAACGACACTCACACAGGGTCCTATCTACCGCTTTATTTACGTACAATTAAATTAAGTGTTGTGCAAACGACCTCCTACGAAAACCTACAATAACTCATTCTGTGAGGAATGGAAAGTACTTCTCAGTTTATTTGGTCCTGTGACTACAGAAAGGTGTACACTGCATTACTCGGGAAGAATTCTTCATTAGTTTTTTTATTTTCTGTCTATCACTGGAAAAAGAAAAGTACGGCTTGAATGTTCGTTTGAAGCTTTTGTAGTCATTGACTGATATTTTCATTCGGTTCCGTCAAGCTGACGTTACTTCAGGCAAAATTTAAGCCAAACTGTCTGTAGACGAATCCCTTTTTTAAATTTAATTTAATTTTTCATCCCACAAAAGGGATGAAATGATAGACGCCTAAAAGCAGAACGATTTAAGCTACTTCTGACTAAAAATTACTAAAAGTTCGAATATATCAAACAGAAAAAAGACCAGAGTTACTTCAGTAAACATTCAAACAAACACCTGATGTCCTAAGCTATTATTATCGATAGAAGACTGACATTTGTGCCACATTTGCGCCAGCAACTTTGAACAGAACAGCTGTATTATAAAACCCAGTTTCCTTGTGAAAAAGGTTACCGCTTGGGGATGACTACAATAAATTAAACCAGCGCACAAACAAACAAACTAAAAAAGTAAGCGGCAGGTGTGAACTTTTCAAGGTTCCTCCAGGCTACTTTTAAGAAAAAGAAATTCCATATAATATATTGAAACTATACTCCAATATATCTCACGTGCACGTCATCACATGTGAACTTCTACGAATCACTATTCAGGGTTTCGGCAACGATATTTGTAATATTAAGCCATTTCTCATTTTTAATGAATTTCACTAGGATCCCGCGCTCGCATCTGTCGCGCCGCAATATTCAAACATAAGAATTAAGATACGTCATAGATTAAAACTTCTTGGGCTGTTGAGTGAGTGGAAGAATTCTTTGATGTAAGAGTCAAATATTAGTCAGCATCTCCAATGTTGGTTCCTCCTAACCTAAGGAAGTCTTTTTTACAAATTTCTACTCTGACGTGTTTCCGGTCTGTGAACTCTAGAGGTTTCAGTCGCGGATGGCCGTACACAGACGAGGACCGCGCAGGTACTGGCACCCTGATCTCCTAATAAGGTGATAAACAACAAAAATAAGATTCACTCAAGAAGGAAATCCCCATACGTATGTGTTCCTGTCACTGAGACGTTCCCACTGAGCTGAATATGCATAGAGAAACTTTTCCCAACTAAAGTGAGAGTTACTTACAAAAAAAAAACAAAAAACAAAAAAAAAAAAAAGGGTAATACACTTGAGTTGGAGTCAAAAAACGAATTCCATTTTGCAATTTTTTGTACCAGTATTTCCTCGAATAACCGCTAACTCTCTAATTAGCGCCCTCCCCCGGGTGAGCGCCCTTCTCGAGTAAGCGCCTCCCGCTGCCTCACTTCCCTAAGTACCGGTATATCAAAATCATACTCCAATTCTCAGAGCAGATCCAATTTCCGAGCAAATCAAACCCTCGCTCTCAATTCTTCATAATGTATTCAACATTTTTTAGTCTACAAGGGACTCATCACGAGAAGTACTCTGACAAATTTATATTTCGACCGGGGTTCCTCTACCAACGAATTAGAGATAAGAAATAAACACAAAAATAAAACAAAACAAAAAAGACTAAAACTTACCTCTCTATTGACAGTAAGTCCTCGTGACTTTGCGTGTTCTCTGTCGTCACGGTGGAGTTTTTGATCGTATCCCTCAACAACATGATTTATTCGATCGTATGTAGAAGGTCTTTGATGCTACAAGAAAAAACAAGATAACGATAAGCAAATCCATACATGAAAAGGTAAAGCCGTGCTTTGATTGAAATTAGGTGAGAAAAACTTACACCTTTATCGTAAGAATATTTTCTGTTTCTCAAATTTAGGGTAAATGAGAAATCAGGTACTCAGAAAAAGAGAAAACGCAAAGAAAAATGCAAATTCACCATTTCGTCACCAACATACCCTGCAAACTGGAGACAGATCTGACGGTAAACTTCTGGTAACAGAAACCATTTAATCTAACAAAAATTCGTGCTGTCAGGCTACGCTAATGTACCGTTCTCACAACAGCAGATAACGGTAAATTATTTCTGTCAATAACATGAACTTAATAAGAGAACATTTCACACTTCATACGCACGAATCTTCAAAAAAGGGGGAACTGGCGAGGCAAAAGTAACATCAAACATACCACTGTCTTGGCAAGGAAATAGCTGGTATCTTGTGCAAGATCTAAAGATTTTGGTCTCTCGACTTTCCACGAGTCTGTTACACCTTCTCCGCCTGTAGTGACAACATGGTTCTTCCTGATCGCATCTTCGCGCTAAAATCAATAAAAAGTGGAAAAGTTTAGCTTCTTCGCCCAAACCACAACCAACAACAAAATAACACATTGCAATCTGTTTCCTCACGCAGGTGTGTTGTACCTTACAACATTGTGTCCACTGGCCCACAGTTTCTTGAGGATTGTAAAGTTTAAGACCGTATGAAGACATTTTGTATCCGCTACCGGGGTAATCGCCCATTTTACGTGAATTTCGAGTAAGAAAAGGAACGAGCTGCGATCAGGCTTCGATTTACTTTGGTTCAGATTGTTTGTAAAAATGCTACAAACGATTCGTTTTCTGTCAATGAAGAATGTAAGACGGTTGCTTGGCAACAGGCTTTGTGTTATAAAGTATATCACCTGCAGGATTAATCAGATTATTGAACAAAAACAACTCAAGCGCGATGAGACCCCATTTATTGAAAGCGATCCCTTTTTCATGGTAATTAGGATGTAATTAACACTTCATTACATAGACTCGTTATTGTGCATCAGGACAGTATTTATTCTTATTTCTATTTAAATGTAAATATGTTACAAAAAAGACTTAACTTGCCTATAAGACACTGTTGCAGGGAAATTAGAAGTTTTCCAGGAAATCAAGGTGTAGAAGGATGTGAAACATAATCAGTGAGCAAGTCTCTGTAATTATCACACCATTGTTGCCATAGTAATTGTAAATCTAAAACTTATCTGAACATTAAACCAGTTCATTTAGAGACAAATCTCACTTATGGTTTGTTTATGTTTACGCTTGTCTTATTCAAAGTGTACATAGCAGTTAAATTATGCCAAAAAATGAACTACTGAGAAAAAAAAAAAAGAATTCCAAGAAACAATACAGAGTATAAAAATATTCCTCAAGCCTGAGTGGGGCAACACTGCAATAGCCCCAAGGGTCAATGTTTTTAATTTTGTGTTGATTTCCTATCATTATCATAGATATAATCAAGGTCTGTAAAAAAAACCTTAAATAAGCCTTTTAAACTACCTGGCATCACATCTGATATATATGCTGATGTGTATGATGCAATTCATTAAACAACATAACTGAGAGACTTTTCAAAGACCATCCACAAAATAGTTTAAACAGATCTATAGTGCATGGTGTTCTAGAAAATATCCATAACCTTCCTAATGCTCTCTTGGTCAATGTAATTAGGTCCTTTATTTCCTTTTGAGGGTTTAGTGCAAATAATGGGGCCAGAAAGCGGATAGGTATGTTGCTATAAAGCATCGATACTGAATTCCTGTCAATTTCCTTGAGTATCATTGAAGTAGAATCTGACTTAATTCCACTTGGAATGTTGTATATTGTCATTTCTGTGACTATGAATAGCAAATTTTAGCAATTTAAAGGGTTGGCAACAAACTTTAATCTGGACACTCATGGATATTTGACATGTCATCGTGTTTACAGGGCCAGCCCTGGTTTATGTAATTTTCCCTGAAAAAGATTCCCTCCCTCTTCATAAATTTTTGAGGAAGATTTAAGTTAACAAGACCCTTAATGCTCATGTGATGAAAGAGTGAAGAATTCAAACTGAATTTGGTTCATCCTTCTGAAAATTATGCTGGTATGATACAATAGGCTCAAAGTTGGCACATGTTATGTAAATATTTTTGAACCTATGACCAATCTTTGCAGGCAAGATGAAGCTAATCCTGTGCTTTGATTCAAAATTCAAGGGACCATTTTCCTCATTCTGTATTGTATCCTTAGTTTCAGTTGCATAAATTATATAAAGCTAGCTGACATACTTCAGAACCACTGCCATATTTTAAACAAAAAAAAACATTCCTGTTTCCCTATTCTGCAAAGCATTAAAGGAGCAAACACAGCTGAAACCATATGAATAATAATTTAATAATAATAATTTTTGACTAGTATCCAGGAGGAACTGGTTCAAATGCCTTAAAAGCCAGACTTGTCTTCAGGCTTCTTTTCTGCAATCTGTTTGATTGCTGCTCACGTATAAGGATCACTTCTTAACTTACATATCATAAATTACAAATCATCTGCAGGCAAAAGTATGATTCTATTTACTTGTGAAAACCACGATATTTTTGTTATCATGCTATTTCGCACTTGTTTGGTGTAATCTAAAGAGAAAAGGTGTTTGGTCAAGATGGTTAGATATTGGCTTTGTTCTGAGAGTTTGATCACATCCTTGATAAGGAATTGATATCTATGACTGAAATACCTTTAAACATTAGTTCGAACGTTGGATCTTGGATTTGAGAAAATGAAGGGGACTCGATCGCAAAAGGGGAGCTCGCACAGGTACTGAGATCGGAACCAGACGTTTCAGGGCACAGATGCAAACACATTCTTACAGTCAAACTACTAAGGACCTCTCAACACGTCTCAGAAATTCTGAATTTCATAAATAGTGGTATAGAAGTTTCACTTTGCCATCGTAAAACATATGATCTATTCAAAAGAATTCACGTTAATTGAAGGAGGGACGGAACCAAAAACTCCCAGGTTGATAGATTCAGAGGTTGACTTATAAAAGACAAAAAAAGGACTAACCTGATATCTTTTTAGTTGGAATTGGTTGTAGGCCTGTCAATAATAAATAAATCGCATTTAGTGAGATTTCGTGAAAGCGCGACAGAATTCGTTCTCTTACGTTTTAGAAGTCAATTATATTTTTTTCGATAACAGATATGGCAACAAGATAAAACTTCAGATGAAATAGGCCAACCTTTGATAGAATACCAGGAGGTTTAAGCATATCTAAGGCTTCTTTCACCGATTTCTCACTAGGATAACGTGAGGACGGCGATTCCCTTGTGGTGGCCGCCATGTTGTTCGATAACTGAAAAATCCTTTCGTGTATACGGGGCGTAACCATAGCAATAGAACCTTTGTTCCCATCTATTGTTCTCGGGATTTTTTCCTTCTTAGCACAATAAAGAGAGACTTGGAGTGTTAATTATGACTTGTCTCTTCAAAACACTGAAAGAAAAAGATTCGAGTTCATGGACCACACTAGTCAAAGAACCCGCTGGAAACAAATAGGGATTCCTGAATAAAAGAATACTCTATCCACGTTGTCATTGGTAACTTCCCTTTTAACTTACGATTATTTGTTAAAAATTATCTAATTCTGGAACTAGTCTCGAAGAAATTATTACAAACATAAATAAGTGTAAACAGTTCTTAATTCTTCTAAAAAGACATGAATCACAGAGAGGAGAGTGGTAACGAATGGCTGTCTTTGCTGAGCGGTAGACTGGAACCGGAAAGCGCGAAATTTAGTTATGGCGGCATCAGGAGACGATTTAGAGGATGAAGAATACGAAGCCCTGGCTTATCAACAGGTCGGATTTTTCCGATGTAGTCACTTTTCAATAGTTTTAAATTTATTCTGATCGTAAAATTTATTTCACAGCGTTTAAAAGCTGCCCTGCACTACACCGTAGGCCGTATTTGTGAAAAAGCAGGTACGTTTCATTTCGATCGATCGAGCGAGCAGGGTCGCAATAATTCATCGTGCACTCTGGAGTGCGCGATGAATTATTGCGACCCTGTTCGCTTGATGACGATATTTGATCTGACGTTGCTTGTGAAAATCCATCCTTTATTCGATATTTGAGTTTTTTTCCCACCACAGTATCACATATTTGATCAGCCAGTGTATTAATTTGCCAGTTCTACCTGTGTTTAGAACAAATTTGTAAGTCTGTTCTTGTGTGTAGCCGTATGTTACATGTTTGACTCTGATTTAGGTGAGGATTCAGGGTTACAATATTCCAGAAGATTCATTGCTGCCCTAACAGAGACGACTTTCAAGCAATGTGGTACGCCTATTGAATATAGTAGATGTGCAACATCAAGGGTTGTAGCTAAAGGGGTCAAAGAGTGTATGCGAACCCCCCAAGAAATAATTGGCAAAAAAGAAATTCCGATTCGGTATACTTCTCCTTTCTCATGAGGGACCACTTATTATTTAGTACCTGGAAGGGTGTAGGGTTTTAAGGGGGGATCATATGGTTTTCATGGGGAAACGAAAGGAATCAGTCGTCCCCAACAGAGTACGAAGAATATTGACAACTGCTAATGAATGGGGATCATAAGAATATTACAACGCATGATAGGTTAATCAGGTAATTTTTGTTGTGACATAACCAAAATCCTCCAACCCCCTCCCCTAGGGGATAAATAATGACTGGTCCACAAGTTGCTCTTATAGCCCCATCCCTTCTTCTCCCCCCCCCCCCCCCCATCCCCCGGCTCCCACCACCACAGGCAGATGAAAAAGAAAAATACCCATTAACTAGGTATTCTGTATTTTGAACAATTGCTCATTACTATGTAGCTTATTGAAGGAGAATATTTTCATTTCAGAATCTTTTGCAACAGATCTTGAACTATTTGCAAAGTAAGTTGGTTATCATTCTTTCATTTTTTCTGGTATGATTCTTGGTTGGTTCAAATAAGCACTAATCTACTGATACAGAGTTACCCACCTCAGGGGAAATCTGGAAGTGGAAGTTTCAACTTTTTCATCATCCCCAGTTACTAAATTTCACCAATCAATATACCCCTCGAAAAATACTTTTGATTGCATTGACCACACCCTTTCATGAGACATAAATGGTTATACGATTGGGGTGTTGCATGTAAGTAAACAGGTACAGCATCAAGAAGAAGGGCTATTTTTTTTCTGCAAGGAAAAATGTACAAGATGCAAGAAAATAAGGTAAGCAGAAAAGGCCAAATGATTTTGGGTCATGTGATAATTTATGTATTTTTAAGGAACTGTTATGTTCCTAAGTATAAACTTTTATCTAGGGGGTTTGCTGACTGGTAATTATAAGACAGAATGAATTGCTCTTTGTTATGGAGAGTTGGTATATATGCTGATAACCATACTTGATCGATGAAACAATCTATATTTTGCTTTTAGACATGGAAAAAGAAGCCAAATTAACTCTGATGATGTGCAGCTGCTTGCCAGAAAAAGTTCTACTTTGGTATGTACAAGATCACAGTTTGAGTAGCCAATCAGAGCCCACCTTCAAATTTATCCACTGTTGTAGTATACTAAATACTCATTTAAAATATTCAAATACAGATAAGAAAGTACTGGTCTATTACACTTGTGGGAGTTTAAGGATTAACCTTTCATTGTGATGATTTTTTTTCCTTACTCAATTCACACATTCCAGGCTGCACATATGGAAGGGATGAGCAAAGAACTGGCAGAAGCACATGAAGCTAATAAGGCTTATAAGAAAACTAGAAAAGTAAAGAAGACTAAACCAGCCCAGGAGTGCAATGAAGCTCTTGAAATCGAAGATAATCAATGATATAGCATGGGAATATCTTTGAAGAAGACTTTGGAGTCATGCTGTAAAGAATTTGAACAGCTGCTTATAAATATATTAAATGAAGACTTTGAACAAAGAGCCAAGAGAGTTTTAAATGATTGTTGCTCATGGGGACACTATAAATAACACAATAGTCTGTGAGATTGGAAAGTACATTATTTAACTCCCTGTTAAAAGGAAAAACCATCCTTACCACTTTGAATCACTAAAAGTTTTGTTATGGGATATAATGTTGCTGATTGTCATAAGTATTTAAGAGACACTTCATGACACATCTAATGAAGGTTTACACACTAGAAAATGTGTATCATTGTTATCATTTTTAGTATTCATGTGTCAATAAAATGTCAACAGTGATGTGTGGAAGGGCAGTCATTGTATCTGAACAATACACCCTTATCATGGGAAGTGTTATAAAATATCCACTGAAGAACTTGTTTAAGTCGCGTGTTGAGGAATTGCACATGAACGGAAGAGTAAAATCTTTTAATTATTTAACATTTTACCAAATATTCAAACATAATTGACAGTGTAGCACTGGGTGTGAAAGTTAATATTTACAAAACATTATGTCACGTTCTTCCTGTGCCGTTTATGAATAAGATTCAACTTGAAAAGCAGTTTGTTTAAATTATAATTCACGCATGAACTGGCATTCAAACACACGAAAGAGACGTTGCCAACCTGAGAAAAACAAACAACGTACAAAAATATGGAACTATTTACACTCGTCACTTTTTAAAAAGTTAAAGGCGAAGAAACACGAATTTTTCGAAAACCAGGCGAGAAAAACGTTCTTTTTTAGGACACTCACGGCTTGTTCGAATCTACGTAAAGAAGTTTAATAGTTCAAAGCGCACATGAGTGCCACACCCCTTTTGATCCAGTGGCGCTGCAACTGACTGCTTGGCAATTCAATTGGAAGAACAAAATTTGTGGAATGGCCTGTTGTGGATAGTGTACCTTTAAAATCAAGAAAAGATTGATCAAAATTAGTACATAACTTACTTGTCATTATTCTAAAGCGTAGAATTTGTCAAAGGAGCAAGGTCATTGGCCACGGCATGGTGTTGTAACGTCATTGAAGTTGGTGATTGTTTCACTGAAACAGAGAGACCACTGCTCTCAAAAATTAGAGATCGCTGCTCTTCGTTTACGTATGAACGATAAATTTCACGTACCAGCTCTGGTCAACGTTTTGTACACTGGGCAGTCATAGATACCCTTGCTCGGCTTCTCTCGGTTCGCCGTTGGTTTCAACCAAATGATCGGCATGTCGGTGTACAACTCCTTCGGTCGGGATTCGGTCAATTCGTGTTTGTCGTAGTCCCATCGAGCACCTTCGAGGAAGAGACCCCGAATGAAGCATCCGTCATTGGGGCGAGAGGTTAACTCTGCTTCGGTTTTCTTCATAACCTAGAGAGAGATGAAATGTCAGCCTAATGAAAAATTGGTTCTTAATACGAAAAAGAAGTCATGGCTTTTTTGGAGAGTAACATCTTGATAAACAGGCCTACCTCAAAGTCGAACGTGATCACATCAATAGAGATCGAAGAAGATCTCGCAAAGTTCTGCAAAGTTCCGGTTAAAAATCCTTGAGGGAAGAAGAAACCTGATATCCAAAAAACCTGCCAAGAAAACAGAGCTATTAGCAAAGGTAACGCAATGTCACTAAAAGTTCTGCATAGAGTAATTAAAACTTACTGGAGGTATTCCATGTTCAATCCACTTATCAATGAATTGAACTCGAGCCACCAAATCAGTTACCCAGGACGCCAGCGGTTTTAATGACGGATAGGCCTGGAAACGAACGGAGAGTAAGCTAGATTAAACACACGGAACTCACACAACTGATAATTACACATCCTTTCATTATAACTTTCTGACAGGAAGTGAGTGTAAAAGATAAAAAGATACGGACGTTAATCAGAACAAAGCACTAATTTCACTCCATACAAACTTCTAACTCAACAAAAGATTTATCAAACCTATGAAGATACCAATTTTTTTGCATACCTTACTGGCCCATAATTCCGGTACAGAGTTAATATAGATACTGTTTGCCATTGTCTCCAGAGCCTGTGACATCACCACCAGACCCTTGAGTGCTTTAAGCAGATCGTTTAATGTCTGTCTGACAGTCTCTAACAGTTTGTTGTAACGAATCACTTCTTGGATTAAAACCGTGTTCATCGACTCCTCGTACCGCACAGGGTGTTTTTCCATCACCATGGAAACCGAAATAGGTTGAGGTACCTTCTCTAGAATACTGCGGCCAGCCTCTTCCATCACCTAAACATAAAAAACGTGATAAATTTCAATCCAGCTGGATGTCTTAAAAGACAAGCAAACTGATTCCGTAGTTTGTAATTTTTTTTGTAATACCATGTATGCAGGTACAGCATATACCTCCAACTATACAATTGTTTTCAATTTTTAGAAGAAGAAGATGCTTTTATTTGGTTAGGGTAACTCCTACAGTTACAAAAACTGATATCCTTAGAGGCCCTAAGAGAGCTAGATGAAAACTTGTAAAATGACCAATTTAAGGCTGTCTCTGAGCACTTAATATTCAGTGGTTTTCATTTTCGACCGCCACAGAGGTTGGGAGAAGATCCTATTACACACAAACCTCTTCACGCGACCTTCCCGCCCCAGATGACGCACGTGGCTGCATTTTGAGTATTCCTTGAAGTAAACTGAACGTCTCGTTCTGAGCAAAAGTGATGTTGGCGTTGTCATGAAGAGCAAATATCTCTGGAGTATCGTTGATTGGTAAACCACGAATGTATCGAAGATAATGCTGACAAGAAATGAAGGGTAGTAACAAGTAGAAGAGTGAGTCCACCGTGTCTTTCCAAAAATATTTCATAACGTACAAAAAAAATGGATGAGACTGGTGTCATATATCGCTATCAGATTAATAAATTTAATAGAGTATCGATGTAATTGGCTTGAACTTTTCTCTCACACCAGTAGGAGTTGCCTCATTCAACTTGACAACCAGGGATATACGTAAAAGAGGAAACCAAAACGTTACATAAATTACTCTGCAATCGGTGCCCTGGCGGATTTAAAGTGAGTCATTTGTTCCTTAAACAACCTTGGGACTTTTAATATCCTCTATAACTGCTTTCACCCACTCCCTATGCTACACCATCATTTAGTAACCATCAGAATCAAGTGAAAAGTCTTTCATTTGTCAAATGGATGCTCTCACTCTGGTTCGTAAGTAAAGTTGGGTCATTCTGTTCGGTCCGTTTGGAAAGATTTTAAAAGTTGTATATAGCATAAATTAAACTTGGCCACATCACTGAAAATACCTCGTGATCAGATGTTAGAGGAAGCTGGTGATAAATTCCAGATTCGGAGAACTTGTGCTCACTGCTGAGCACGTCAGGTGAGTAGAAATCATTTAAGATGTTCATTATACACCGGCGATCCCAGTCATCGGTAACACGACCGCCATAATTGATGTGTCCAGCAGTATATTTTAGGACCTGAAAAAAGTCACGACAAAAGCAAATGAAACAAATACTTGAGATATTTATAGGTAATAACATGATTTCGAGTGCAATTTGATGTAATATGCTGGAGTGAAATTTTCAAAGACAACAAAATTGTAGTCCTTGAAAAAATTGACAAGTGCTCATTTACACCAAATTGCACGAGAAATCATGTCACTTGATAATTATTTAAATGAAAAAGCACCGCAGAAAGTACAGACAAACGAAATTTTGGTAGCGCGCGCGCTATTTGTAATTTGCATTCGTGTTACAACTTTGCACTCGTGTTACATGAAAAATGCATTCGTTTTCAGCCAATGAGACGCGCGTAATTTTTTTGTGTATATCATTAAGGCGTAGACAGTCATTAAAAAAAACACAGGCGCCTAGAATGAATTAGGGTTCCTCTGGAAACTAACGCCTATATTTCTAATGAACTTTTAAACATAAAGGCAGTTTAAGAGATGTATGACATCTATATCCGATTTCCATTGCACAGTGGCCCACTACAAAAAGTCCTTCCAAAATGACGGTTTTAAGCTCATTTTACGGTCCCGGGTGTTAGGTGCATGATTGTAAACATAACTTTTGAAACTAGACCTGGATCGTTTTTAATTCACTGAATGAGTCTAATCGAAGAGACACTTCCGACATCAAAAGAACTTGATATACCACATCAGTATCGTTTGACTGATTTAAAGATGTTGGATATGGCTAATAAAATAATTTACGATAAGGAATAGGTGAAATGATTTACCTTGAAAGGTATTTCCTCTTCGTACTCCTCTAAGAACATGCTCAGCTGACTTATACAAATCCTTAAGTCTCCAGTGGTAAACTCGTACGGGATGTTAAAACCCAGAGCACCAAATTTCCTTCTCTCCAAGGTGACCCCATGGAAAAGACACAGCGAGAAAAGAAGGAACTTGAATTCTTCCTGAATATGGATCAAGGAAAAAAAGTTTCAATTGTGTTAGAGGGTATTAGTTTAGCAAATGAAGTTACAGTAATGAGTACGTTTTTTTCAATCTAACCCTTTTGCAACTTGCATAGAACTCGTCACTAAATCCCGTGAAAGATCTCAATAAGTTGGCTTTAATCCCCCGCGGAGGTTCCACGGTCATTTTTGAACCATTCTGTAGAATAGAGACTGGAAACTTGGGACTTGGCATGCTGGTTAACCACAGGCGGAAGTCACGGTGCACCTGTTCGGAGACATACGAAATAATACCAGTCTTAGTAAACTGGGGAGCGACAGAACTTTCTGATGTTAGTTCAGAAAATCTTAATAGCTGCTAACCTTGTCTGGATCGATATTCTCCACGAGTCTTTCAAGACTGGGCATAAAGCTTGGGGCTAAATGACAGTTCTGGAAAAATACCCACTTTCCGCGCTCCATGGCCGAGCGCATCATAGCTTCTGCGCGAGGACCCTGTAGAGAAAAAGAGAAGTGCAAGTCTGAGTATAAAAAAGCTACTCATTATAATGTAATTGCCATTCTAAATAGTGACTTTGTATATTTTTTTCGGTTTTGCCAACATCCGAGCAGGTGGTAACATGTAACCAGTAGACAGTTCATATTCTTATCAGATGCACAAATTTCAACTTATCGAGGCGACTTTAAGTCACAAAAGCGTGTAAAACAATCTTTCTGAACTGGAAATTGCATAGGTGACTAAATGTTTTACCCCTTTCAATATATGACTTAAAACGTAACTTCGTGCCAAGGACATTTTACACTTCACATCTGAAGGAAAAAGCACCTGAAGATGAAGTTGTTAAAAGAGTAAGGTTCAAATCATTCGAAGAGTAGTAAAAGCTGACCACTCACCTGACCCTGGCCGAGAGAAATTGCACTAAGCTTCTTTGAAAACCTCATTTCTTCAGCAAATTTATACAGGTCTGCGGCTGGGTCAGTTCCAACTGACAACACGAAGATGAGTGGAGTGGTAGGAGACGAGTCTTTAAACACAAGAGACAAATCCGTCGTCTAAAAAACAAAAGTTTGTAGGAATTCTAAAGTTTGTCTTGCAGTTGAGGAAAATCAGATTTACGTTCATTTTAAGTTATAACTTCTAGATGACAGCATTTTTTTTTAGGATAAACTGACCACGCCGTCAACACAAAGGTATCAAAAGTTACCTGAGGTTCAATGAACCGCTGGCCAAGATTTTCAGAAACAAAATCCTGTAAGAAAGTAAAACAATCAGTCAGTCTTATAAAGGGCAAAATGACATGTTTAAAACACCACACTTCAATGTATTTTTTAATTCTTGTACCTGCATTGCATTAGTAACTTTGTCAGCTCTCAAGCATTTCAACGCAAGAAGCTTCTGGAACGAATCCAGGTCAGTGTTCCACGGTTCAGGCAACGGCTCACTGTGGGGATTAGAAATAAAACATTCAACTAAGTATGATTAGATGATGAAAAAGAAATGATGATCTACTTTTTTTAAAAGGATGATAGACCCGTAAAACCAAAGCAAAAACGAACATAGAAACCGAAAAACCAACAAACTAACAAAGACTAAAAGGAAAGAGAAAGATAAAGAAAGCAAAGTCTCAACAGTATCAAATATTGTCCTTTCTGTTTCAATTCAATCCATTTTCTTTTCAGTGATAATTGAAAAGTGATTCGTGAATAAATAACTAACCGGTGAGGGTCAGCACTGTCAAACATTCTTCGAAATCCCTCTATGTGATTCTTGAAGTCTTCAGCAAAATTGGCAAACTTAGGCTGAGATAGATAAAGAAGCAACAACAGTTATTAAATGAAGAGCTAAAATTAAGCAACCAAGCCTCTTTTTACAAAACTTACATTATCCAGCAAAAATGGTGAATCAGTTCAACATTTTAGTAAAATGTCAATCGAAATCCTTATGAACCGCAGCGAGGGTGAAAATTAAGCAGACACACTGGCAATTCATAGACACGATTTTCTTTTTGTTGTGAACCTCAACCATTCCAGTTAGCGTACGATCGTTCGAGGAGAATGAAGACTTGTCTTCAAGGAGAGACGTCACGGTTTGACCATTATAAAACCTTGGCTTAAAAATTTGTCAAGCTCTTAATGAGCAATCAGAGTTGATCTTCGCCATCCTACAAAAATTAGTTTCTTCTTGGGTCATCGCTTTTCTTCTTCTTTTTTTTTTTTTTGTCTTCACTACGGAGTAAATATTTCGAGGTTCCACTAAAAGATGAAAATGACCTCTATGCGCCCATATCAATGTCACGTACGATATTTCATTCTGGATATGACTTACCAGCACTGGAAGTCGAAGTATTTCGGACCAGGCCCGGTCTGACAGCCAGTCCTGGGCGGGGTTCTCAATCTCCTTGGGAATAGCAGAGCCACCAGCCAATAGGAAACGCCACTCATCCTGAAAGAGAAAAGTATGTCTGCTTTAAAAAAGAAAAGATTTTCAAAAAGTAAACAGATACTAAAAGGTAAAGGTATCAGTGCTCACCATGTTAATCTTATTGTCGTTCATCAGGATTCTGACGCACACGAGGAATGAGAATAAAAGTTTGTCTTTTTCGAACAAACTGCGACACACGTTAGAGTACAAGCTGAATGTGAAATAGTCGTTGATGTTTACGATACGCTTTTCCAAGTTATCTGTAAAGAAGATAAAACCAACAGAAAAATTGTCATGTACTAAACGACCATAAAAAGAAATATGTACAAAAGCTTGACACGCAGTTACCCTAAAAGTTTCAGAGAAAAAAATCAAACTACATACCTGACGCTTCAGCGTTTGCTATGCTGTTAAGAAAGATGCGGATAAACCACTCCAAAGAATACTGGTACATAGGGTCTATGTTAGCCTGGAAAATAAATGAAAATAAAGCTTAAAAAGCAGTGCTATCGGGGAGATTAGTTTGACAGGTCCTTTCTTTTCAGTTCTATGTGAATCAACCCCTTAAGCAACCATGTACATATATTAATTTCCGGTAGAGGATGCGATAGGATATTCTTGGTGATAGACTTAAAGGTGGCAGTCACGTGATCTCCAGGTCATCTAGAAATGTAAAAGGAAATACTTACCAAGTCATAAGTACAGAAGAAGAGTATCTGAGTTCTGACAGCTACAGGGATGTATTGACTACGTGTCTCGTCAATATCTTTTTCAGTCTGTTCTGCAATCACCACTTTAGCCTGAAACGGCGGACATAGTTTCACTTACCAATGTAGTGAAGACTAAAAAGAATCTCAATATAAATAATAGTACAGTATTGACGCCGTCTTACGTTTGAAGTTTTCAACATCAGTTACGTGGCAAATAAAAACTGGCTCGCTTAGATAGTTGACAGATGCTGCCTGCGTGCAATGGGAAAGACGATGAGCCAATCAACTGATTTACTACCAAGGCCGGAGTGAGTGTTAATAACACCATCTTTCGTTCTCCTAATTCCTAAATCCCCCTAAGACGCAAACAATACTCAGCAATAAATTTTGCAAATTATCCCTTGCGCACAAGCGTAATTTTGTGACAAAGGGTTAAGTTTGTATATCTTCTGACTACCGCACACCGACATCTCCTTCCACCGGTCGCAGACACCGCTGATTTAAAGGGATCAGGAACTTTTCTCATTATCAATTAAATACTTTTTAAAGCAGTACAAAGAACACAGAGCAGAAGTTTCCCCATTTACCTTGATTTCCATGGACTTAGCTTTAGACTGTTCCAGTGTATGAATCAAATCAATGTCATCCACAGGGCTGCCTTCAGATGCCGATAGTTTGTGGAGAATCTTATCTTCAATCTCTTTGAGCTCTTGTTTCATTTTTGCATTGCTGACAATCAACTGATTTTTGGCTTCTTCCAAGTCAGGCCTCTCCTCAGCAACCACTAGAGCTAAAAGCTGATCTTCAAGACCGCTATAAAACGAAAAAAAAACTGACAGTTAGTTACAAGTATTATGAGAATCGGCTCAAGAGAGAAACAGGACCTGCATAACAATATAATGCTTATTCTTCGTAGCCCACAGTAAGAAATTAATTTAGATACAGCATGAAAGTTGTCGATATGAAGAGCGGAATGAATGCAAGTATGAGGAGCGTCACAAAACCAAAATCGCAGTAATTACAGTAACCAATCAGAACAAACCTTAATATCACAAGGGAAAAAAGTGAGTACCCAAGGTGAAAACAAGCAAACTAGGTGTGGTAAGGAAAATGATTCAGCAGGATATGATAAGCTTCAGTTTGCAGCAGATCGGTTATTAGGAAGGAGGAGGATAAAAACCTAGGGAAGTAGGTAACGTATTCGACACTTAGTTGAAAATTGCTCAATAAGAAACAATGTTACTCAATTACTGTTAAACACAGTTATTTTTTCTTATTATTATTATTCGCTTGTTTTTCGCGTTTGTATAACATATCGACTATGTTCGTTTTATCTGACTTGACAAAAGCGATTTTAGTGACCACTACCATTCTACCTACCCTGGTGAAAGAGTGAAGTTGACAATAGTGACCTTTGTGGACACTTCAGGAGTGTAGTGTGGGTTAGGAAGCTTTGTAGTAATGTAAAACTTAAAGTCATCGTGATAAGGGATGATGGCGTCTCCGAGCTTGATCACTGTACTACCTGACTGCTTGAATGTCTGAAACACAAAAATGTTTCACCATATGAGCAATCGGTATTGGTTGAGTTTTAAAATTCTTTTATGGTTTATATTTGAGCATATTTTAAAGGATACTCAAAGAGCAGTAAAAGAAGAGAGAATCATAATAACCTTTGGTCACAATAGGGGGATTAAGGAGAAATCTTAGTTTCCGAAGGATACGAATCATGGATCTTTCGATCTCGTGGACGGATGCTGTACATTGAAAATGAGCTACAGAAGACTCGTTTTTGATTTAGGCCATACACAAGCGAGTCAGAGGTTCACAACTAAAATTTTATCTAAAACTGAGCTGTAAAGAAGGTTCATGTAACGGATAAGGGCTATATTACAAAGCGGCAACTTTAGATGGCGAATGAATCTCCTTTGAACCTCCCAGAAATTGAAATTTTCATTTTGAGCAGTGTTCAGATCTCTACCTTTTAAATTGATCTACAATCATTTCCTTACTTGTTTTAGCAATATAGGTTCTAAAGCTGGATCCAGTTCTTCTCCAACATTTTCTAACAGGCACGGTTTACCGAAACGCACAGCGTTTTCTAAGCTTCGTAAGAAATCTCGGTCGCTGAGTTTGATTACGTCAAGACCGGCGTCTTTTTCCTACAGGAACCAAAATCAAAAGTTATGAAAACAAAGTAGGAAATGGATTTAACCTAATAAGCAAACCTATTCAGTGATATGAATTGTCTCTAGCAAGAATGAAAAGGCACTTCTTAATAAGAAAAGCAAATAAGCCATCAAGAAACACGCAAATGAATAAGTGATAAATCAGAGCGAAGTTGGCAGCCGAGATAACAAATTATAAAACCCTTAAACTGACGGAAAACATGTCCGGAAAATAAATTGGTTTTCGCATAATCTGTGGAGTTGGTAAATAGAGATTACTCAGTGGAAAGTGCACACGAACGATTTTTATTCACGAGTTGAAGTGCATCAAAAAAACGAACGAGTGAGTTTTTTTGATGCATCGCAGCGAGTATTTGATACATGCCGAGATATTTTCTTATTACTGACCGACATATTTCAAAGATTGGAAGCGCAATGACTGTGAAAATGTATCGTTCGTATGATCAGAGACACGAACGATAGTACTTCACAATGTAAATCTTAGTATGCATGAAATAAAGTACTTTTCCACATTGTGAGAGGCTTACAATCTCGTCAATTCAAAACTATTATATTTCATCCTTGGTCTAAAGTTGGGCTGTTCCTTAATAACTAGCCATTACCATCTTAAAATTGCGGCCTAATTTCAATCTAAGTGAGATTTCCAACAAAGTGACATATGAACCGTCGATCATTTATCAATGCAGTTGTCAAAACCTGGTTAGCTCATGAACTTACTAAGCTTTTAATCCACTTGTTAGCCTGCCCCTGAGGGTCAATAAACAGTGGCCACCTCTGAGAGAACTGCACAATAACACCATTCTCCACAGACAGCGTGTCACGGGGCAAACCAGCAATCTGCCAGTTGCGAATCTTTACAGGATCTCCAAGTGTTGGCACGAGTGAACAGTTGTCTGAGTGAGGGATTTCCAGACCACGTAATTCTCTTAACCATTCCTCAACCATTGACACGCGGTATTCGCCCTGAGATAGGAGAGACTAATTTGGTCAAGTCTACGCGGATCGTAAGGGCAGGAAGGTCGCATATTTTTTCTCGCCCGTCACGTGATCGAAATGGCTGGGTCCTCTTTATCACAACATTATCGTAATGATGATAATAAAATCAACGACCATATCAAAGCAAATGGCAAAGATGATAATAATAATGACAACAAAAATGAAAGTTACAACGACAGTGACAACGATAACGATAATGATAATGATAATAAGATGAAAAAAATGATAAGGATTGACACTATGCCGACGACAATGACAATGACGGCAATGATAACGAGAACGATAATGATAATAACGATGATAATGATAATTATTGTTTCTTTAGAGGGCACGGTAACGAATCTTGCAATCTGATTGGTTCTTTACCCGGTCAGTATTTTCCTATCTCTGCCCACGGGCCACGGTAACGCTTTCGTGAGTCGCCGAGTACATCCCAACTTTCGTTGTCATTTTTCATAAATATACCTCGTTTTCCAGCTGGGCAGTATTTTCAAGCAAACACGTCGGTCACTACCTCAAGCCGATAAATAACTTATGAATCCTTCCTTTTCTCTCTATCAAATCACTTTGGTTGACAGAAAGATATTGGTTTCAGAATGAATTTGTATAAACAATAGTGTCATTACGTTGGTTGACAAGCGGCCTAAAAACCGTCTGCAATTAATTTTAATCGTTCACAAAAAGTACCCAGAAAGTTGAAACGTGAGGTATTTGGTTACAGTTAAACTGAACGATGGAACTTTCATTCATTTAATATCTGAATTTTCTCGAGCAATTTGTTCATAGTAAAAAAAAGCGAGCGAAGTTTTAATTTAAGTTCTACAACAAATATACGCTCCTGGTGAGTCTTTCCAATTCCGTTCAATTTGGACATTTGTACCTTAAATTGCACAACAGAAATTGAAGGAATTGAGAAAAGGCTGCATTAAATTCCCTTGTGTCTCGTTGGAGTGTGCCGTTCGAATTTAGTTTTTGTGAAGGAAAGATCAGAGTTAAACACGCCATTACAGCAAACAAACGAGCAAACTCTCACAACTTCAAAATAAAAAATTGAATTTACTCACAATTACTTTCCTCGCCGTTTACTTAATGAACAGAGGTAAATCTTCGTACATGAATGAATGGTCGATGAGAGTAAATAATACTTTCCGTTAGATCATTAACTGATTTTTAAGAAAACATTGTCGTGACAGTCCTTGCCAAACTAGTTCTGTTGGTTTTCAAATGTTCCTACGATTTTTTTTTTCTTGCGCGCTCTCTAATTGACAGGTGTCAGATTGTGACAGATACTTGTAAAAATAATGTTTCAAAGTTTGTTTGGAAGCCTTTTAAATCACCTTTATCGTTACGGAAATGAAAATGTTTCGCTGAGGCATCTCTCTTAAATTTGCATCACCTCTATTTTAACTACCATTTACTCACTCAAAAATTGTTCAGTTTATGGAAGATCTTGCCGTATTTACGGCCATAAGTCATTCGGGTTCTTTCGGAAAGAATTTCGTCAAATTTAAAAACAATAAATATGTTATTTACCGGCTAAGGGTCGGTCCGTATAGTGAAAAACTGTGACCTCGGTCTTGAAAATACTGCCCGAGGCCGACCTCGGTCACAGTTTTTCACCATACGGACCTCCCAGCCGGCAAATAACATATATTTATTAACCACAATTATAAAATATTCTTCGTTTACTACAGCCGATTGCTAGTGTTAAGGAAAACACAAAAAATAATAAGACACGAAAAGGAAGGAGGCAGGCCAGAGAGATTTTGGCAAGGCAGAGCTGATGGGTAAACTTGGGGACCACGGAAAACAAATACAGTGTGGGGGCTTGAACCTGTTACCACCGAAATACAGGATCAACACCTTACCACTCGGTCACGCTGAACCTTTTGAATAGCAATATTCCCGTTTACGTTACACTCGATGTTCTTCCTAAATTAAATTTTTCTCGACGAACCGATTGCTTTCTACGGAACACAACAATACAGAACGTTTGTAAAACCATAACTTAACCGCTCCCCCTGAGAGACAAAGCTGCAGGAAACGTGGGGAAAATATTGAATCAATTACGCCACCAGAAATGGGTGTTAGATATTTTACGACCTCAAACGTCTTTTCAAAATGAAGAAAATGAGAGAAGCAAGTCATAATCGGTCTTGCAGGTGGACAGCTTGAGTAAATGCGAATGAAAGGGCTTGTTTAGCTCAACTTTCAAAAATCCCCCAATAGAGACAAAAAAAGATACCGTTGTCAAGATGAAATTTAACGGTTAAAAAAAAGGGAGACGATTTTTGGACACGTTCTACATCTGTTAAAGTCACCCTACTCACTTTTGAGAAAGAAAAAATTTTATCAAATGCTTGTCCATGTTGTGCTAATTAGGAGCTAATGACCCGATGAACGTCTGCCCGAGGATATATAGCAAACAGACCAAAGGGCACAATGTCAATGATTATGACTTGAGCATTGTGGTAAACAACAGACTTCTCAACAGGTCACTTTCGCTTAAAAATGGCAATCATTTTCCTCTCTTGATGACCATTTACAGATGAATAGATGCGAGATTTATTGTATACAGTACGGAACTCAATTTATCAAAGTACTACAAAAAGCAGTTTAAAGATCATTTTACATGCAAATATAAATAAGTATTGTTTTTAGGAACAACTCAGAGCACGTACTCATCTTATTCAGCAAAACTGCGTCCAAAATTCCGTGAAAAAGTCAAGAAATTGACTCTTTATGACGAATTTTTTTCAAATTGAGTTCTAAATCTGGGTGGCTAATCCCAATTTTAAATCACCAAACTGCAGCTGCTCGCAACTTTCTCTTTCAATTCATCAGCTCGTTATACAGTGTACTCAAATTGCAAGAAAAAAATTAAAGTGGCACTCAACCGACAACAAAAAATTGTACTTGTCCTTTATTGAGCTCCAGTGAATCCAGCAAAAAATAGAATCAATCAAACCTTGCAGATATTACTGCGGCACTAACGGATGACAAAAATACACTTAGAGGTTTGTTCAACTTCGAAAGTCTAGCTGGGACGGCATGAAAATGAGTGTTCAGCAAAGGGACAAAAGTTTTAATATTTTTCGGTTTCCTAGCAATTAAAACGAGGGCCAACCATTTGTGATCTCGATTAAACACAAACAAGGCAAGCGGTTTGAGAGCTTTTAGCTGGTGAAAGAAATTTGATCTTCTTCCACAAGCCTCACCTGTGGCCAAAATGAGAAAAACTTACTTCAATAAGACCTTCACAGCCTAAATAGAGCATGACCTGAAGGTAGATTCAAATGTTTAAGTTTTGCGACTACTTGAAGGAGATTGCTTGTTGATCACTCCACAAGGACTTTCTCTTCATGAACTGAACGACTAGTCAGTGTTATCGCACGCATTATTCAGAGAAATCATTCAATCAATTTGCCCATACTTGGCGTATTCACAGATGCTGTTAGTTCCTTTACATATTTTTCCTTGAAAGAAAGGATTCCACACCAAAAGCCATTTTTGTCTCTAAAGAGACTATAAGAATCTTTCATTCAAAGATGGGAAGCTTATTACCTTCAGCTGGCTTAGACGGTACCATGGTGGTGAGCTGTTGTGTTACGTAACGAAGATTACTTTACAGTTTTTTTTTAGAGTACCATGGCACCGGCTCGCAAGCTGTTCATTGCTACACGCGAATTTCCCCCTTCTTTGAACAAGTATTTATTCTTTCTTCACCAGTTTTGATGCCGTTTGTGAAACTATTTGTCAGTGAAATCGTTCCAATCGTTCAGTCAGGCGGATTCCACGGTTGACGTGGCAGTATTGCCCATGCTTACTGTGTTTGCAGGAGCTATTTCTTGGTTTCCTTTACGCCATCGCAGAATCTTAATAAACGCTTTTCGGAAGTTCGGTAAACGCCAGGCGTAAATGAAAGGATTCAACGCCGAGGAACACAGTACAAAGATGAACTGCATATCACGACAAATGTGGATTGTGTAACAACTGCACGACGAGCACAGATTCATAAGGTATATCATAACAAGCGATGGCGTATAACAACACAAAAATAGCCCCAACATAACAACAAACACCTGTGTGATATTCCTCTCAAAAGCCGCAGCTCTAATTTTTGCTCGGTTTTCTTCTGTTTGCGAACTATCCCGCAGCATATTCCACTCCATAACCTGAGCTCTCATACTTTTTAAGGATCCAACATATGTCGCGAGAAATATGATCAAAGTAAACGCTATGGCCGTGTTTGCGAAGACAAATGTATAAAGCAAATACCCGACTTCGAAGTAAATAAAAGGCAAAGCGAACGAGACCAGCCAAATAACAGCCGCGATTATACAGGCGCGTGTGATGGTGAGTCGTGCTCGATACTGCAACGGATGACTTATCGCTGTGAAGCGATCAACTGTCAGGGCTGCGAGATTCAGTACGGATGCGGTACAAGAGATGAAGTAGGACATGTGGATAGACCACACGTTATTCAACTTCAGGGAAAATCCCTCGCGAAAATGCATGTATATCGATAACGGCTCCACCACCATGCCCACGATCAGATCTGAAATGGCCAGATTTATCACAAAGAAAGTGAATGGCGTCCTCAAGCATTTGTAGGGGTCTTTCCACACCGCCAAGCAAACTAAAAAGTTACCTGGTATGGTGAGTAGAGCGAGACCTAGAGAGAGAGCTGCTGTTATGAATGGAAGGGTATCAGGTGCTGGTACCCCATCGCAGGAATTCCCTCCAAAAGTCATCTCTGAAAACTCGATCGGACATCAAAGACGTGCGATTAAGCTTTACAATCCAATGTGTCTTCAATTAGATCTTAACTATGATGGTCTTCGACGACTCTTTCAGGAAAAAAAGGGATTAGATTTGATTGATGACTATCAAACTGTTCAGCTTTTAGATCCAGCCCGTGCTTGGGCCTGACTTCCACTGTGCAGTTTAACCTTACCGCTCCTATCTTTGGCACTGAATAACGATGCAACACTGGCTTTAAATAGAACGTGCTGACGACGTGCCAGATTGAAAGCCTGATAGTTTGCCTAGGAGCATAGAGAAACCACAAGCACAGGCAGCTGTTCAAAGAGTGTCATTTGCACTTCAATATGAGTTGAATAGATGACGCTTTTCAATTTGTTAGTCAGTTTCCAACAACAGCGCGATCAAGCTTCTTAACGTGAAATCATTATGAATATTGCAACACTGGCTTATAAATAAAAGAAATCTGACAATTCTGAATTTGAAACTCAGCTATCTTCAAACTGTCTTGTGCAAGAGGAAAGTTTCACATGCTTCTGTCAATAAATTGATGAATTGCGGCAATTCACCGCCGTCACTTTATCCTAATGTGGCTGACAAGCTTAATTGCATTCTCACCTCGTCGGAAATGGAATCTTGATTAAAAATCCGGTTAGAATTAAACCTTCTGTCTAACATACAAAACTTTGGGAAAAGCCTCGAGTACTGCTAAGCACCCTTGATAAAGAAGAAACCTGAATACATAAGAATTCTAATCTCAATATACAGCTAGCATTTTGATCAGAGCCTTCGAAGTTTTCTATTTTTAGGAAAATTTTATCTACTTCAAACAGTAAACAGCTACAGACCGGTGCAATAACTGCAAAATCTGAAAGCAAATATCATGGTCTGTGACACTTCCCGCTAAAAATCGATAAAACAGAGCTGATAGGAATCAACTTCAAGTGGAGTTTTTTAATATCTAAAGCTTAACAAGCCTTTCATTTTCTCAACTATCATCATGAAAGACATGAGCTATCAAAACCTGAATCATTAAATTTCGGCGAACGTGAGATCAAAGAATAAACACTACGAAGGCTTTCAAGAACAGAAAACGCCTTCAGGCATCGAAACACTATTTGCACTGATGTGAATTGAGAATTATGTAATTAAAAGGAGGAAAGGTTTACTGAAGATGAAATGAAAATGGGTAAGATAGCAATTTAGTCGACATCATGATTCTTTACAACTTTGCATTTAGTTTCTGACCCTTTTTAATTCAGCCTAAATTTGAAAAAATTTACTGCAAGTTATCCAAGAAAACAGAGGCAGCTCGGAAAATCTGCAAGTGTGTAGGAGTTATGTACGAAAATATAACACTTCAGAGTGATTAAAACACAATTACCGTTCGTTATGTAGGTTGAACTGCCAGCACTGTAATAGAGAAAATTCGATCACTCCTAATAGATGTTTCCCTCAGCTTCTGAGTTTTCATGAACTGCGGGAGTCTACTGAATCGTCAAATTAGCAGGAAGTGTTCAACCCAAAAGCTTTTACGATAGACAAAACAAAAAGCCATTTTCTTTAGAAGAAAAAACTTTTTATTAACGCCTCCCCATGAGATGAATTTGACTGTCTCTTTCCGAGAATCTGATTATCCCAGGATGAACCGAACCGGTTATCTATGTTTCTAATTTCGTTACCTGCGGATTAGCTTATGTAAAATTCAGGATAATGATCATTTCTACTTTCCTCTTTCTCTCAACCGAAAAAGGTTTATTAATGCATTCAAGATTAATCATGGGCACAGAGTGTATGTAAGGTGTCGATCACTGAAATTAAAATTATAAATCTATACAATCAACAGAGCTAAGCAACACAACCTGTCTCTCAGCCAAAATTATGGTTAAAATTTGATATCTTTAATAACGACATCAAGACATATTAATGGATAAAAACCCCACAAACGAAATTTACCAAACTGATTAAACGTTATCGAATGGACAAATTATGTGGTTCAGCCTGCCATTCGCTCTTACCGTATTAAGAGCAAATCTCAAAGAAACAAGAGGCCAGCCAAAAGAATAGGTGATTAAAGCCGCGGCAATTACACACAAACATTTCCTCAGTTTAATGCTTAAATAGAAAGTCAATATGGTAGTCAGGCTTCCTGACGTTTCTCGGTTATGCGCGAAGAAAATTACACTATGAGTGCTTGTGCTTCCAAATCAACACTCTCTTTAAGAGATCAACACTGAGAAGAAACGTTATATTTTCTTGCCACGGCTTGGTATATCCCGACAAAATTCGAACGAATTCTTTTGAAATGAAAAAGGAACTTTTTTTCCTTAAAAAAAAAAACCCCACACATTATTGGCATGTGAATAATAGTTATTTCAAACTCACCGTAAAAGTGCCAAGGTAGGCGATTACCCCGGATGAAATCATGACGTCACCAACAATATTTACAATCTGACCATCAAATGACAGCACTGATTCATGCCAGCGGATTTTTTCGTCACTGAGGCCACCAATCAACTGTGTTATAGGAAAGTAAAATGTAGACTGTTTCTACCTCACGAATAACAATATTCACGTCGCGCTCCATAACGGGTCATTAAAAAAAAAAAAAAGACTCATATACATAGTGATCACCGGGGCATAAGTTCGCGAGGAGACAAGGATCAATTCATTATCTGCAAGCTTAATGCCTATAACAGGTCTACCAGCTTCTGTAACACGTATTGCCTGAAATTAATAATTCTTTTTCTCAGATAAGTTGCATTTCATGACAGGCGAGCAGTTCTTCAGAAAATTATTCGACAATTCGACAGTATCCAGTTACCGCGACCCCAGGAAACAAACAAGACTGGCCCAAGAGCAAGACAAAACACATCAGTTTGACTTAGAAAAGAGCTAAAAAAAATAAAGGCTGCTTTAAATTTGTTAGAACTAGTCGCTCGTATAAGACCAGCAAGTCTGAGAACTGAAAAACTGGTCCAATCCAAACTGAGATAATTAAAGGAGATCCCCTCTGATACAAATGTAGTCAAACCGATTCGCTACTTTGTTATCTTATAAGACATACTAAACAGCTGGATCTGTTTTCAACGCAACACCATATAGCACTGACCTTTTCAGCTCGACCAAGTCTGGCCGAGCACTGTTCTGTTTTAAACTCTAATTCCTGTTTCTTGGCAATACACTCCTCGTATTTGGCCTGAAGGGACGCGATGCCTTCCTCCACCTCGGCCAGCCGAGCTTTAGCCTCCGCAAGAACACGTTGGGTTTCTTGTAGCTCTTCAGTGGCTTGTTTTAGAGCAGCCTACAGAGGAAGACAAGTCATCCTGAATATTCCTGCTGTTGTCGCATAAGGGCTTGAATTCAGCAAAGCCTATGAAATGACGCCACTTTTTGGATAATTCAAAATGATTTATGAAAAATTCATCCTCACACCATTAACACACTCGTCAACTGCGTAATTTATGGCCATTTTTGGTGCCAAGTTGAAAAAATTGAAAAAACAGTTTGCTCGGGCAGACAAACATCACCGATGTAAGGAAAGATCCATGATGGTTTAAGATCAGGTAGACGTACAAGGATTGCACATTTTTCAAGACAGACAAATTATGACGTAGATCTCTTTAGTCTTAGGATGCCAGGAAATCGACCAGTAAGTCTGTTTTAAATAGACAGGGTGACACATGGCGGAATCGGCAGCGGTGTTACCAAAGAATCAAAACTAACAAGTTAAGACATAGTAATCAATTAACTCACCCGTTTAGGAGCTACTGCTTTAGACACGAAGTGATATTTGTGCATAGCTCGTACCCATTGGCAGATGGACGTACACGCCTTCGACACCTGAACGACAGATGGAAACAAAGCTAATAAAATTAATATTTAAGTGTATATGATTTTTTATTAATGAAAGCAAAGGTGCAAGTAGTTGAAACTGTAAAGATCGTTAGAAAGATGTAACAACACCACAACAATAAAGAGAACACACGCACACGCACACACACACAAAAACGTTTTTCCGGCGTGATGGCCAAAGCGGTGAGGAAGGCCTAAAAATGTATTCATAATACTTAAATTGAGTTTAATCGGTTTTCAGGTTTACCTTGGCAATGTTAGCTGGTTGGAAATCTTCGTTGTCTATATATGGTTGTATTTTCTGAATCACTGGATCGGGGATGTTGTCCTTAAAATGAAATAATAGTTTTATGCACCCATTAAGCTTTATCATATCCATTTTGAAATAAATGATAGTCCTTGCAATCTGCATGATTGTCTCTTAGCAGTGCGATTTAATATAGAATCGCAGCATCTTTACTCCCAGCCAATAGGAATAACACAATAAAACCATACAACCAATCGTTCTCTTTTATGAATTCATCTTCCCTGCTAAAGGATATATGAAATATCACTAGCGTACTAGGGTAATAATTTGTGCGTTTTCAAAATGAATGTAACGAAGTGGAAACTGAACTTTGTGTCGTGCAATTTAATCTGAAGTTATATCTGTGACTTTGGAGAGAACTGGACCCCATTCAAATCAATCTATATTGAGAAAAATGTTTCAAGTTGACGTTATGCAGGTAAGTATTTTTACCTTGTCGAACTTGAAGAGACTTTCAAGAAATTTTCCAGGGTCTTGAAGCAAAGCTTTACCAGGCTCCCAGTAATCATCTACTTTTGTCCCAACCTGCACAGTACAAGGATGAGAAATAAACAAATTATTACAACCTATAAAACAAGAACAACAATGCTCAATAAACGATCTCCATCCAACCAAGTAGAAAACAAACAGACTAGCAAACAATAAACCACCTGGTAAAATATTTTGTAAACTTTATAACTGAAGATTGATAATAACTGGCTCTAAACTAAGTTTAATAAAAGTCTTTTAAAAAACCAACAAAACCAACAACAAAATATAACTCAAAGAGGATGCTGGAAAGTTTAACTTTTCCTTTTTCAGTTCTCATAAACGTCACGTTTCAACTCTCCATTGCGTAGTAATGCGTTCCGTTACACTGCGTTACGTTACGTTTCGTAATTTCATGTGTGGCTAATTTGCTTCAAAGTATTAACCTTTTCTCCCGCAATCTTCTTGGGCTTGACGCCTTTCATTATACTGACAGCTTCAATCACAAGCTTCACACCTGGAGGAGGACGCTGAAGAGCTCGAACCTGTCACATAGTAACAAGGAAACCAATGCTCAACACTTGCTAGGTAACCAAACGTTAAAGGAGAAAATAAGAAAGTTTCTCAGTATGTCTCTTACCTCTACGACATCAGTCTTATTTAAGGACTTCAGACTCGTCAGGGCCGCTTCCTAAAAGCGAAAGTGAACCACTTAGAATTTAAATTTCTAGCTTACTCAACAGGTACCCAAGAAAATCGCCAGGCCTCCGAGCACCTGAAATTACAATCATTGGAATCTGAAGAATGTGCAGACTTTACAACAGCTGGAAATTTCTCGTACCAGTGCTGGCAAGGCCTCGTCCAAGTCTCTCTGAGCGTCATCAGCAATGGCCTGGGTTTCTGCAGCTTTTTTAGCGGCTTCCTCTTCTTCTCGCTGTACAACAACTTTAGTCTCGTTGGCAACAACCTGTCAAAAGACAGAAAAATATCATCGTTTATAATGAATAGCACCAACTGAAACAATAAGGAGACAATGGACTTGAATAGGTATAGTACACCCTGGGCTGTGTTTTTTAAAGCCGATAACTCAGTATTGGTGTAAAATCTGATTTCAGATCTGAAAGCTTCAAAAGAAAATTCAGAATAATTTTTCTTTGTTTACAATTTGATGATTGGATGCTATAAAAAGAATAATGAAAATTATCCCAAACAAGCTTTTAAATAAGGGAATATAGAAACCCAGATTAAAATTTAACCGCGGGTAAGCGCTAATCGCCCTTTCCGTCTACAACCGGGTCTTTTAGGTGTTATCTGCTAGGTAAAAGGAACATGGGGGAGCCTGTTGAAATCTGAAGGAAGTTTACAGAAGAGGATCTGAAAAAAGAAAATATCCGCTAATTCAAAAATATAGTAACCAGTAGAGTCCACTGGCGCAGCATTGTGGATGTTTTTTGCTCCCGTAAAGCTCGTGGAAAAATGAGTATTGTGATAGCACGCGGGAAAGTCATTATAATGATTCTCATGGTATATATACCGACGACTTTTTCTCACAGAATAAGAAATTATCTACCATACGAATACGTGGTAATAATAATAGGGGGGACAATAAGGGAGGATATTCCACAACATGCACAGTTTTCATTACCGAGTCCACTTTAATCTTCTCCATTGTCTCTACAGTTTCTTCAGCTGCCTGAGCCAACAACGGCTGCATGGACTCCAATTCTTCTTGTAGCTTCTCCACCTCATCAGCTGTACTTAGCAACTGAATAACAACAACAAAAATAACAAGAGAGTGAAATCAGTTTAAAGCTAAGAGCTTCGTTTGCGGAGACACGGCGTGCTAACCATTAACACGGGCAAATCGGAAATTCAGATGGAAAATTAAACTTTACGCCAGTCGCGTTATTCTCTTGTTGGAATGTTTGTAAATTATGGGTTGGTAGCTGGGTTGATTTACTATCCGAGTTCTTTTCAGGGTTTTTGATATATTTAGGTAAGTTGTTGACACTTTGTATCTTCTGTTAAGTGAAGTTCAATCATAAAATGTTTATACATGAAATTTGAAACCGCTAGCTTTGACCTCTCCTTTACTTACTCTACTTACTTCAATTTCAACAAATGAAAAATAAAACAGTAAAAGCTTTCATACTGCTCCTTTTTTCCTTAAATACACGGAAAGACGTCCGAAAATTGATTCTGAGGCGACTTCCTAAGATTGCCTGAAGTAATGGTGCGATTACACCCACCTTGTCCAACCCAACTTTTGTCCTGTTTCTCGCCGTAGACAACTCCGTCTTTTTCATGCCCACCAACTTTCGAAATGTCCCTAGAAGCTCCAAGTAGCTGAAAAAAAAGTACAGATAGTAATTATTGTACAACATCGCCGAGGATTAAAAGCCAACAGTCTCAACTCATTACCTGGTGGGTGTAACATAGTTGTGGCGGGACAACTCAGCCAAGTATTGCTTGGACTTTTGAGCCACTGTCTGATGAATGACTCCACAGATTGACACCTGTCGGTCAATAAATAGTTTAAAAGAAGAATATTAAAGATCAATGGCGGTTACGAACACTTCGTTGTTGCAGATTACTAGAGCTCGATTTTTTCAAGTTCGAAGACACATATCAGTAGTGGCTCTGAAAAAAAGATCACAGCATTTATTGCCAAACTAAAAGCTACGTAAATGTCAACCTCTTAGAAAGACACATCGTCGCGTTGGACGATTGACCGATTTTGCCAGAATAAAAAAATGGTACAAACTCTGCGTCCATTCTTTTTTCAGATACTAGGTTCGGTCTCTTTGGAGTAGGCCGATCCTAACTTGAAATATATAATTCATGTGATAAAAATCAGGGCATACCAAGCCTTCCATTGCCGAAGATTCATCCAGTTCGGGAATTTCTCCGAGGAAAGTTGACGCCACGGATCGTAAGGCCTCCTTGGGCCAAGCAGAAAACCAATCAATGGTACAGCAGTTGACCAAAGACGGAAATTGGCGGAGACGTGCTCGGAATATTTCACCAATTGGGCTACAAGAGATACAGGTTGATATGAAATCAATGATTGCTAGACGAAGGTATGACGCCCCAAATATGGCTCGTAATGGAATGAAGGTTGGGCCTCTCGGCAGATGTAGATAACAACAGAGAAAAGGTAATTCTTTGGATCATACAAATTTGGTACAGAAATAAGTTGGATATGCTTGAACCAAAACGTACAGAAATTATCGTCACGCGATTTGACGAAGATTGGAAAAAATAATTTACATCAATATTGGTATTAGAAGGTGTCTTTTAAAAGGAAAAAAAGCCATATTTAAGGGCAGAAAAAACTCAATATTTAAACCACTAAGGACGTTACTTTACTTATGACTCTTCATGACTCCTCAGAGAGAAACTGAAAATCGAGATTAACCAGTGATAAAGGAAGTTAATAACAGGGACACCTTACATACCTCATACAGACAACAGTATGTGTGTTGGCCCGCACTCGTTTAGTGAAAGCTGAGTATAGATTGGCCTTGGTGGGCTGAAGACCCTGATCAAGAACCACCGGCTTCATAGCTGTGAAGATCGCGTCGAGCTCATCTTGTGCGAATATGTTAGGTACATCACCGGCATTTAGAACGTTGTTCAGATCTTCTAAGAAACTTTCGCTTTTAATCTGTGTATATTGAAAATGAAGTTGATTACAATGGTCTGGTTATTTAAACCGCGTCCTAAACAATCTTCAATTTAACTGAAACAAAAACCAAACCCAAAGTAATCACAACGCCCAATCAGAAGAAAGGAAAATACCTTTAAGAGCCAGTAAGAACTCAAAGTAAAACCAAACCCAAAGTAATCACAACACCCAATCAGAGGAAAGGAAAATACCTTTAAGAGCCAGTAAGAACTCAAGTAAAATCGATTGAACTGACAAAGCGCAGGAAAACGCGAGCGTGCTGGTCGTGATTGGTTTTACGTTTTTCCTTTTAATTGGTTGAGAGAGAGGCACGAGTTTTCTGGACCAATCGCAGAGCAAAGTAATGCAAAAAAAAAGCAATCTCGGATTTAAATTTAAAATTGGTCTATAACGTAAGTTTTCGTTGCGACATTCAGTCTCACGCCGCACGCACAACGCACAAATATTTTGCAACCCTCAAGACCATGGTTAGAGTGTTTGTCACCCGTCTCCACTTTCTTCCCATACCTGTGTGTCACTGAAGAGAAAAACCATCGATTTGTTCTCTACACCTGACTTCAGCAGCACCTTTTTCAGGTCTTCACGCCATTCAGGAACACCATAATTTTTCGCCAACTCAATCTGGAAACACTCGTATTCGGCCCTGAATAAAAAAAAAACCCAGCACATGAGCCCAAGAGGTGAGATTATTATTAAGTCAGAAAGAGAATCTTTTCATTGCCATGAAAATCACAATTGACGGAAGATCTAATTTTTATGCTTGCATAAAGAGCTCTGTTGCATCGCATTCCTAGCCAACTTGATGAACTTAAACACCTGTAGCCGACCTCGTCGCAAACAAATCGATTCACATTACCAAAACCCCTCTTAGTTGCCAACTGGGCTAAACTCAAGTTAATAATAACTCACATGTGGGCTGCAAGCCTTGTCAGGCTCTGACGTCCGCTGCCTCCCACACCCAGAAGTAGAGCGTTACCCAGCGGCTGGCGAATCACACGGCTGATTCGTGACACGTGACGAACTGCGTCAGTAAAGAGCACCAGCTTCATCTGCGCCGTGTTGATTTGATTGTAGTCATCAAGGTACTCTTCCATTATTTTCACCATCTGTCAAAGTAAGCAAGGAGTGTGAGAGGAAACATGACAATGAGAGATCAAGATAAGCAAGAGGCAAAATACAACACAATAAAAAAGATGATAGATTTTGAGCTCGGTGAAGAAGGTCTGAAATATTATTTGCTCACCTCAGTGAATGCCCGGCCTAAAAATTACATGAATACTGTCGTGACGGGATGATAGACATACGGAATCATTTAATCAATAGCTGAAAAGCTGGGAGAACGAGGAACCATCTGCCTGTCTCATAAACCAACCAACTAACTTACCCAGTACCCAAAAAATGAAATAAATTGGAAAGCCAATGGAAAGATTGACCCGCCGGTAGATAATCGATATCTACTCGCTACTATTACCTGATAGCAGCACATTTAATTAACCAACAAAATTAGATTCCACCCGTAACTAACCTTTTCAAAACTGGCAACTTCACCATAAATCTTATTCTCAGCACTGGGCACCATAAAATCACCATAAATCATAGTGGAATCTTTGACAACGTCATTCAAAGACGACTCAAACCCAGACGCCATCTTGTCCCGAATCAGATCCACGAACCACTTCCTGTCCTCATCATTGACAAGTCGATCTTGAAACACTCGGCAGTTCTCATGGTACCACAGCCTCAGCACATCTTCTTTGTTCTCAAGTTTCTCCGATTGAGCCATGAGAATTCCTTGGAAAACTTTTGACAAGTCACGCAGGTTAAAGGTGTAGTGGCTCTTGGCTGGAGTGGGCAGTAGCTAGAAAGTGAACGAGCGAGGGTAATTTATGGATTGCACTTGGAATGAGTGTTATAAAACCAAAACCAAAGAAACAACAAATGTAAGTCTTCTAAGAAGTTATCAAAAATTCTTGCAAACAACCACCAGTGCGCAAAAAACGCGCGTAACCATGTTACGACTGGTTTTAGTTTTCAGCTGTTTGCAACTTTAGCAACTGGGTTAAAAGGGCAGTGCGAGTTTTCTAGGCTAATCATAGAACGCATTAAACAAAATCAATGTAATACCGCAATATGCTCTAAAAGATTGACTGGTAAGTTTGGTTTGAAACCATACCAAGAATTAACAAGTCATAGTACCTGTGTGATAACAGTGTTATAAACGGCGATGGTGTTCCGTACCAGACTGTCACAGAGTGTTTCTCTGTCTTCACCTACGTATGAAGCTAAAAGCAACACAAGCCAACTGAATTTCGAGGAGAAATTTCTTGTATCAACTACAAGTAGCAACCTTCTCGGTACTTAAGCTTAAAAAAGGGGCTCAGGTCTTACAGGACAGTATGACTTAACTTATAGTTAACAAGTAAAGTACTTTAAAACATCATTCCACGCCACTCAACAGTACATATCTAAGTCTGTTCTTTAATCTTGGATATTTTTTTCCACAATATCTCCTGACCGAAACTTCTTGTCATTATTCGCAAAGTGTGTTCTCCTTTTTTTGTACTCCTGATATTGAAGTCGACCAGAATACCATTGTCCCAGAACAGATGTTCACATTTAAATTCACGGTTTATCACCGTCACTCAAAAGCTTTTACAAACGTCCTCGCATTCCTGTCTAACAAACCTCACATAACACTACTTGCTTTTTCCTCTACACTATTCTAACCTGCCAGACCTTTGTTTATATCTGTAAAACAAATAACACCTTGTTAACGTGGCTTCTTTAACAGACGGTCTCTCATTTGTGGTGCGAACGCCTGTAAGTGCTTTACTCACATTCTCAATGGCGACTGTGATGTTTCTTCATGACAGAGGGAAATTCAGAAGAGTTCTTAACTTCTATAAATTGGCTGTATAAATCATAAACACTTGGAAACTTGCCTTTCTCCTACCTAACCAATCAGTAACCTATCTTCTGTATAAAAGGAAGTCTGTCCTCTCCATTTTACTCTGGGCACAAGTTTGTGTTCCTCGGAGTCAATATTCCATAGGGTGGTTAGACATTAACGGTTGATTTATTTCATACTCTCAACATACAGGATGAGCACATTGTTTGAATAACGTACAAGGATTAAACTGAATTAGATACTAACGGCCCGTTAACAGCGATATTGAGGTTTACCTCGTTGTAAGTAAAGTGACCTTTAGCTTTCTACTATCGTAATACTACAATTGGGTACGAGTTTGCAGGCCATCAAATGAGTGCAAGCAACATGACAGGCAACCTGACTGATAACCTTCCTATTGCAGAAGAGGCTTCACTTGAAATTCCTTACCTATCCAGGACTTGAGAATTGTAGCGAAGATTCGCTGTTTACTCTCATCTTCCAGTTCGGTGAATGACAAATGATTGAAGTGTCTAAGGAATCGAGGTGTGACGGGATTTCTACCACCCCCTGGGGGTCCCATTGCCGCTATAAAGTTTATATCCACCAGTTCACGGAAGGTTCCTTAATCAGGAAAAGAGACACAACATAAATTTACGTGCATCCATGCTTCTTCCCAAGGGGTTTCATGCAGCAAACTTATGCATGTAACTGAGACAATGAAGAGGAAAGGGTAAAGAGGCGCGAGCTTCTTCAACATTCACGGATACTTTTAAAAGCTAAGTCACACGGATTTCTTGAAGTGATTTTTTTGGTGAGGAGTAGAATTGTCTTCACACTGAATAAAACTAAAAATAATATTTTGAAAAAGAAGAAAACAGAAAAGCAATAAAAAACTAAGAATGAGCAAAGAAGGTGAAGGATAAAGAGGGTCACAAGGGGTTGAAAACAACAAAAATAGAAAAAAATTCCACTTAATGTATTAAAGACGAAGCTCGTTTGAGCCTTATTTAAGCAGCCTTGCAGCATCTACTCCCCTCTCAATTTCTGGTGGAAAATCGGCGGAAATTATAAATTAAAATCAGCTTAATTAAGAAAAGTGAAGGAGTGTCTATGGGATCACAGTAACGTACCAATGGCCTTCCTGTCGTACCAGCCCTTATGATCGCAGTACTGGCGCAGGATTTCTACAGGAGGCTGGGCTCCATACACTTCCAAGGCAGGCATGTTAAGATCGTCGACAAAAAACACGAAGTGTTTCCCCAGTGGAGGACCAAACACACCTTTACGTCTGAAAATAAATACATGCAATTTGAACAATACAGAGAGTAAATGTGGCGTAAGACTACCTACTACAAAATCTGAAGAGCAGGAGACCCACAGTAGATGCCAAAAATGTGCCAACACGAGAAAAACAGGTGGATTTAAGCCTGCGAATTCAGACTTTCTACTCCCGTTTTACTCTGCAGGAAACAATATGTCAACGATCAACCTAAACTGGCAGGTTAGTAACACGGTCTCTTGACAAAAATGCGTCAATAGAAGAAAGCACTCGACACAAGCATAAAGGATTGACGAACTAAAGTTGAAAATTATCGAAGGGAAACGAACATTTAAGCAAGAGATGATAACACGAGAACAAACAGGAAGATGATGTCAGATACGCGACGGTATTCTGACGTTTTAACGTTGTTTAAACAGTACATAACTCGGGTATCTTTTGTGTCACAACGAACAGTCTCACCTCTTGTCCAGTTTGCTGTCTATAATATCTTGCGTTTGATTAGCAGATGTTCGAGCAGAAAAATTCAAGAAATGCGACAGGAACTCTTTAGGCATGTCGTTCAGAAGTTTGTTGGCTATACAAAGAGTCTTACCAGAGCCAGTTGGTCCAACACTCATCACCTGTAGAAGCAATGAAGTTCTCAAATCTCGTAGCAATTTCCTTGACCCTTTAACTCCCAGAAGTGATTGACATGTAACTTCTCAATAAAATATCAATACGTTATTTATCGAACAGGTAATGAGAATACTCAAACTTATCAGGTAGAAGTTGTTAATTGTCTTGATTTCATATCAAATTCTTGTAACTTATTTTCAAGGAGATGCGTAGCAGCTAAAGGAGAAAAATAAACTTTGAGATCTTGGGAGTTTAAGTGTTAAGAGACTAACGTCTATGGCTAGAAACAGGTGAGAGATAATTTCATCTTAACAACACTGTTTCTGTCTTAGTATTGTTGTCGTTACCGTCCTTAATTGACTTTGTTTTTGTCGTAGCTGTTATTTCTCTTTTAAATGTTCGATTAAGTCTTAAATGCCAGATTATTATCTGTATTTAAAGAGATCAAGGCAACAAAGTGGTCTTCCGTTGGATGGAACCAAAGAGGATTGGATGAGCAGTGTTCGCGTTGTCTCAGTATTTCGAGACACAGACTAATGGAGACAATACCCTCCTCGTGACATGATGGTCTTCTCTCGTCAGTTGTTTGCTTAACATAGTATCGTTTAATAGTCCAGCCTCTAATCTCACGGCACAGTAGCGTACATAGATATGGATACCTTCTTGTTGTTTGTTAGCAGCGTTTCTAGCAAAAATGAACCTCTGACCAAGTCCATGGTGGGTATGATGATATCGGAGAAGTTCATCTCCGGTGGAATGTCAGGCATGGATATGTTAGCCATCCAGTTTACCCACTTCACCTGTAACACAAATACACAATGATTTAGAACAGTAGCGTTGCCGTCATCGAAAGGAAACGAAAAGTGGGAAGCATATGTTCATGAAACTTGTGAGGATTGAATGACAAAACGAAAATTAAAATCCTTTAAGTGGAAATATCAACTTTTCATGAGAAATCGAACAATACATTCCAATACTTCCTTGCGATTTTCCCAAGTCAAAGTTAGTCAGTTTTAGAGGAACATTTCTTTTCCATCTCTAAAACGTTAAGATTTTCCTGAACGGTCACAAACGGCAGGTGCCATCGACGCAACAATTCTCATACTGAAAGGATTTGTACATTTCAAAATATATCGAGAATGTTCTTATGCACTTTCTTTCTTCACCACCCCTCCCCTCTTGAAAAGATGCATAAAACACCCTCACCTCCCCTGCATGTTCCTCCTCATCGTCATCATCCTTGCCGTGCTTTCGACTGACTCCACCATCCTCTAGTGCGTAATCGTATACCAGACCGTCACGTGGAAACATCATAGTAATCTGGAATTGTAAGAATTACACTAGGTTACTTTATTCCACCCACGACGGATGACGTCTATCTACTCTATCAGTACCCAGATGCAATTCCCTGTGTTTCAAGAGTGCGAAGTAAGGTTAGTCAAAAGAGAATCGAGCTCAAGACATGTTAAATAAATGATGAGCTTCTCTGTGAAGTACATATATTTTATTGGAAATCACCTTCTCGTCATCCATTTTCTTCCTCAGATATTCACTAAATTTCTTCCTTCCGTCTCCATCGCATGTTCCTCCAACGGACCAGACAAGAGCAAAGATAAACCAGGGTTCAATCAGGGTTTCGGCCAAAGCAATGTGCTCTGAACGAATCGTCTCTCCCTGATGAGGTAAAATCAAATGTTCTTATTAAT